CACGTATTCGGTAAATTATTATAGCTTGCGTAGGATACCATCATGACAAACCCACTGAAATCATTTTGTGAATTAGCGAACATTTTCCGTTCCAATACCTTCAGTTGACTGCTGTTGGAAAGAAAGTGAGACGAACAAAATGCTCCTTTTTCTGCAAAACAATATTTTGCCAAGAATGAAGTTATATTCATATAAATTAACATAATTTAGATAAATCCTTTTGAAAGAAAATTGCCCCAGAATGCCTTAATAAGACCGAAGTAAGCCAGCTAGCTCTCTTTGGACAGAATTTCAACGCTCGCATCCACAACCTAAGAAAATGTCATGACGTTTTTAAATTCTCAGTAAGAAATGGTTAGTTCGAAGTCCTTAAGATTCTTCATATTTCACCAGTAAAGCATTTTAGAAGACACCCTATAAAAAAGTGCGCGATAAAGTGGGCATATCTATTAAACAATTAGGTTATGAGCTCGAGATTTATATCGCGTGATTGTTAACAAAGGCACACTGCTACGTTACTCACTATCTATCACAGAATTGATAGTGAGAGGCGTAACCAATCAGAGAGCGGCATTCGTGATAGAACGCTAGTAGATTTATACTAATACTCGATAACGCGATCCAACGTAATGGTGCTGCAAAAGGTAATAGCGAGTGAGTGATTTTTTCTTTCGTTCTCCAAAGCTTTCATTCGTGTTGCTAAAACTCGATAAAAACACGGAAATGTTTCTTATTCTTTGAATAATGCTATTATATGCTTCCCACTTCTTAGCTTCTTAATGAAAGCTACGAGTTTTGAATATTATCGACATGGAAGCAAGGAAGCAAGCTGGTCTTTAACCACTCGGACACACGCAGAATGAGCTTCCGCTATCAGTCTCACTGGAGAACCCATGATTGACGACACGATCGTCAGATTAGGTTTCTAGTTTTCCTTTCAAAAATATTTTCTTGGTGTTATTTATCATAGACGTGGATGGTTGCATTGATGATTGAAATCAAATTGGAGAATTAATTACTACTTTGCGTGGTAATAATTTTTGAAAGTTGAAAATAAAGTACTTAATGGCAAGTCGATAAATCATCTTATTTCATTAGAGCTAGACTTGATAACCCAACGTCATCCATTGCCTGTTTATCGTTACTATTCAGGGACAACCAACATCGGTTTTCTTTTCAAATGCTTTGAAACACTGTTTAAGGCTATCTGGAGTGGTGTTACAGTAGTCTAAGTTAATTTTAGCCTGCACTATAAGTTCTTTATCTGGTTGATCGTTCTGATGCAGCTTTTAAAGTCTTCTCGGATTCATTACATTATAGCTTTTCTGTTCATTTCTTGGAAACCTTAGGTCTTATTACCTTATTTCTGAGATATTGTCAACGGTTCAAGAAAAACCCAAAGTTTAAATCCTATGTGTATCCATTACCAGGAGACAAGGTAGTCTCAATATCGAGTTAGTAACATTTTTCTTTCTCTCCCGCCCTAGTCTTTTGTACACTATTGTACGCCTTTTGTAAAAGGTCAAGTGGATAAGGCGAATCAGCCACCGAACTACACCAATATGAAATGTCTAAAGATCGAAAAATCGAGGAAACAGAAGAGAACTTAAGTGGACCGATGTACAACTAGTTACTACTCAGCTGACTATTCGGAACGTCTCACCGAATGATTCATTTAATCCAACTTTCTTGGAGAAAATTGAGCAACGCACAGACACTTGGTATGTTCTACGTGGGCTGTCTGCCTACCCACCGGCTGACTCAATGATTTAATGATTATAGCATAATATTCAAATCACTGGCGAGTTTAGGATACTGCAAGAAGAATTATTTTCTTGAATTTTTGTTCCCATCCAAGGAGTAATGTACAAAATCATCTGCTTTGCCCGCGCACTCAATCTCTGAATTGCGAAACTGGCCTCTCTTTCAAGACTCGAAAATAATAACAGAAGAGAAATGCAAAAATTGCTCGAACTTTGCATCCCACGCGTGGATTAACTTTGATCATTCTAGATCTCCCGTTGTTGACATAGGTAATAATCACATTAGAAATTCACTGGAATCCTAACATACTGTACACAGTAATACGGCACGTGCCTGCTAATAAGACAGCACAGCATTCGTATATACATGTTAATCTGTTTACTCATTCCTTCGTAAGTTGTGTATGTTAAACCTCTTAGTATTAAAATTTCATTTAGACGTCCATTTTTCCTTTCAAAGTGTCCTGATAAGCAATCAAAAGTTTGGTGTAGTATTAGAGTTCAAATACAACCCCCTCAAAATGCCATCCGGCGTCAGTCCGTTGTAGTGGTTTGGGGGCGGTGATATTGTGCCGATTCCGCTTTGGTCTGTCAAATGTTCCACCTTGAGAGATTTCTAAAACCATTTTGGTTTGAGTATGAACTGAGAGATTACTGGTCCAGACTGGAATGAATAGTTTACTTCAGCCTCAAGCTGTGCTTGTCTGGTTTTCTAAGTTCAGCTTAGGAAACAGCTGGTAACCGGAAACAGTGGGTTAACAAGATTCGCCATTCTCTAAATCATACCGTTGTAAGAGTTCTTCTGGTCAAGTCCTCAGGGTCAACTTTGTTAGTTCGTCCTGTGACGTAAAAAGTTTGGCGCGAACAGAATCTGAATGCATGGTAAGTTTCGATTTCATGTTCCTGATGATCAGCAATTCTTAGAACAAACAGTCCACCTGTGCGCGACATTTCTTTTGACTGAGCTATAATCTGGTGTTTTAAATTAGTTGCATGCAGCTTGTGGTCTTCCTTCAGGTCTTTACCAATTACAGAATAAATGTTATTTAAAAAAAAATTGAAAAATTCGTGTTTCATTGACCTCTGTACACGTTCTTCAGTCCGGAAGGGATGTTTACGTTTGGCTCAGGTGTTAAACGTAGGAACACATTCCGTGTTCCTGATTCACTCTGGCCTCGCACTGCAACCACTGCGACCTCTAACATTGACAAAGTGCTCAGAATGACAGAAGAAAGAACATACTTCAAAATATACGTCAATATCCTTCACAAGACAAATTAGTTAGCTTTATGTGAATAGTTTACTCATCTGCCCCAATATCTTGAAAGATTGGCAGGAACTGATATTTTGAGTTTGGCCATATACTAAATGGAGGGAAGCATGAAAAAACATCAGGATCTTTTCTCTTGGTCAAAACTAAACATTGATGCGTGCAAGAGAATTCCAGAAAAAGGAGCACTGCGTAGTCAAGAAATCGGAAATGAGCTTTCTGCAAAGAGGTTCATTTTGACTGTAGTTGGTGTTTTCCGGTTTTTACAAATGGCTAGTGGTTATGGCAATATGAAGGCGTTACCGCAAAGGTTCTGGTATATTTGTTTAGTATTAAAAGAGTTCCTTGCTTGCGAAGCATGAAACACCTCTTCTAAATAGTTTTTTAATTTTCTTGTGTCTTCATTTTTGCCTCTAAGATGCTTGCCGGATCAGTACAATTTAGAGTTTTGTAACTCGAGGTCTTACTCGAGCGGATCTGATCTTCATGAACAGAAATGCGATTTGGAACTTAGCTAAGACCTTTAAACCTGCTGGGGTGCTAAGCACGCACCCACACAATTGGATAACAGGTAAGCAACTTGAAAGGTGAAAGGTATTTTTTAGTCTTGTCTCCTCGCCCTTGCTCTAAACCAAGAGCAGGCTATTAAAATTTAAGGTAAACTGATTAAAATGTTATTATCAGCTTATCATTGCTTGAGATAACCGGGCTGTACTGTTAGATGTAAATGAAATTTATTTTCATGGAGGACTCATTCAATCAAGCTTTATTTCGTATTCGTCGTATTTAGTTTTCTTTCTGTCTACAAATAGCGAAAAGCCTCCTCTTCTCTTTTCTCAAAGGGGCGGATTTCTTTTAAATACCCTTTTTTTGTACTAATCGCGAAGGAAACAAAGTGAAAGAGGATTCCAGTCAAATATATTCGCCTTAGAGCTATTGCTCTAAGCGGCAACTAATTTAGCCATTTGGTTTTTCTCTCGATTGAGCGACAATTTAAAGAAACAAATTTTTCAATTCGAACAGACTTTGGTGAACTGAACTGAAAATTCAAAGCGATTGTAAATTGAGTCAACATGAAAGTGACTAGTATAATGAGTCATTATCTTGACGTTACCGCTTTAAGCCGCTGTTTAAAACAAACTTCAGAACAAACCACAGAGTTGCTGATGATGCACGGACGTGAATAGTAGTTAATTAAGCAATACTGAGTACAAACTCCAGAAGGTACTTCCAGGACGATGGGTGTACATCGACCTTCTTGAATCCCTAAACCTATTTTAGACCAAAAAACGATTTTTTTCGAGTCTATTTCAGACCAAAACTTTGATGCCCTGTTTAAGACCTGAGAGCGCGGGAGAGTGTGTCAAGCGCGTGACTGTAGCGAGTGAAGAGCCGTTCCAGCACGTACACGGTGAACGTAAACAAACATAATCTGAGACTGGGTTTTGCCATGTTGATGGTCTTAATTATAATGATGAAGAAGTGACCTGATTTAAAAACATAGACCGGAGTACGCAAACTATACCCTATTTCAGACCAAAACGTCTCAAAAAACATCCCGTGTGGCACCGCACGTATCTATATACCCATATAAGGGAGTATCCCCCCTGGACAAAGACGGAGAACGCGGTTGCTGCGCTATGTTGTCAATGAGACCATTGTGTAGGCTCACTTTGATGTTTGTTAGCCCACAACGAAGCGTGTTTCCTTTTGATATTATCCGGCTCATATCTCATTTTGCGTCTTACCGAAAATCAGTGCAGGCGGAATTTCAAGAAAAATAAGTTATTTTTAGCCCTTTGCGTGGAATGAGGAACTTTCTAGCAGAATATTTATCAATACATCAGTCAGCCAGATAAATACGGATGAAATAGGGTTATTCAAACTTTTGTGGTTTACCTCTTTTCCTTTTTTTTTGGCTGCAAAATAATATTTATCCCGAAGAAGTCGAACATGTCACGTCAGTGTTAGAAATCGCAGAAATTATTTCCTTATCGTTCCGAATCGTACAAGTTGCATCCTGCATAACACACACAAAAATTAAAATTGGCAAAATTAAGCTTCCGCCAAAATTTGTTCCATTTGGTAACAAGACAAGTAATGAGAGAACATTATAAATGCGAAAAAGAGCTGTTGTCAGTCCACCATTGAGACCCCCCAAGCTACCCTACATTCCCCTGCAGTTATGCTATCAAAATTGCAACATACTTTTACATAGGACAAATATAGTAGGGTTCCTAGTCATTCTGCTATGCAGCAAAGCTGCATGCATACTGATAGAATCATGAGCACTTTCCCGAAGCACTTCCTGTAGGCTGAATAGGCCAATTGTTAGTAGAATAATAAACGCCTACAAATTGAGGGCGTAAACAATATGAAGAGGATATTATAAAAGCTAAGCGAGATCGACCAAGCTGAGAGAGTTTGCAATTTGCGGCTAGACTGGGATGGACGGTTTAAAGAATCAACACCAACTTTGTTTGGTGAAATACGTTTTGTTTTCTTTGTCACTTATCATGATCCAAGGTATGTCTTAAAATTGAGTTATTCTGTCATTATTAGGAATGGTAAATGGCCCTTTAAAACCCATAGGTCTCCCCAAAATTTTCGTCGAATTTCACGAGTTCGCAGTCTCGATTTTTAGCGGCTATGTGCGTCTCGAGTCTCGATATTTTCTCACAAAGCTGTCTCGAACTACCGATTTATTTATGACGTTTGATCGTCTAAGAACCTGAACGTCACGAGCTCGCATTTAACTGACTTTGAAGTTTTGGTGTCAAAATGGCTTGGGCTCGCAAGAAAAAAACGCTCTCGCATTCCCGCACCGTTCACCACCTATTATTGTACGCAGCTATTTTCAGTCTCGATTCAATCCTCCAGGATCGATTTAGTTATAAACTCTATTAAGATCAAGGAGTCGTGGACACTTGAATGATCTATCCCACATTCTTGTTGATTTAAGAATCAAGTAAAATATCTTTGGGATGAAGGCATTTTTGGTCGTTTGAAAATATTTCGGAGGCTTTATGTGCAGGCTATGATCGCTGCACTTAAAGATCGCCCTGCTTGTGACACAATAATTTTTTTTTTTGACTTCTTAAAAACTCTATGGCATTACGTGCCTAATATTCGAAGTATTTAAGGTGATAACCTTGAATTTAAGGAGTGTTTATTGAGAGGAATTATGAAAATCAAGTCTTGTCTAGAACTGTAAAGGAGTATGGAATATTTCAATTTTTTACCATGAATAATCAATACGCCTACATGCACACATGAATAACGACTGAATACCAATCCAAAAAATTTCGATTATTTGTGGGAGGTTAGGAAAAATGAAAAGTTATGGATGTGTTCGGCTTTATTATTAGTATCGTTATCACATCAGTTGAGATATGACACATCTGTTTTTGTCAACATAAACTATTGCGAAATTTATATTAGCTGATTTGTGAGGGCTTTAAATAGGGCTAAACCAAATTATCAGTCTTATAGTAGCTATCATCGCCGTGACATCGATCATTTGTGAGAATACAAGGGACTACGACATGCAATTTTTTAACCCTGTCAACTTGGATTTTACTGTAGCCTTCACTAAAGAGCTAAGTTAAGGATATTGACCTTGTCGACTGTTCTCGTTTGATTCAGTTTTTACGTAAATTAATGATCGATGCCAGAAGCCATTTATAGGTAAGAATTGTGCTATTCCTTTTCGTGAAATGCAGTCCCCATGTAGGATAAAATTAGCAACACGTCATTCCTAAATGGGGACAAACATATGTTGACTTTTTAGATCGGTTGCAGTTTCTCGTGATATTTTATTCACTGGTATGGCCAATAATGATCAAATTATCGAATTCTCTTCCTAAAACCGAGGAAACCTATCCCCTATCAGCTTTGGTTTAAAATGCGGTAACCTACTTCTTACATTTAAAATTTGTACAGTGTACACGTCTACAATACATGACCTTAGCTAATCAGTAGTGTCTTCCATCTACGTAGTTTGAGACAGGCAACAAAATTGCCTTCTAAATAACTTTCCAAATTCAAGGTCAGAGTGCAAAACATACCCTACATGAGACTCTCATAATGAATACCTTATTTCAGAGAAAAACGGCACGCCACAACGTGTAATAGCCTAAGTCCCGCACGTACTTATCTGGCTTATATTAATTAGCCTATTAGCTCATATAAGGGAGTGTATCCATGCTAATGAAGTGTCTTTGGTTTCTACCTAGTGTTGACTAGTTTGAGTTGAGAGTAAAGAAAACGGCGAGGAATAAAAACAGCAACATTAATGAACATTAAACATTAATGCGCACGTTATTCCATTCATCGAGTGACGAAGTACTAACGGTTTCATTGTGTTCAGCTGGAATGGGTTCGTCTTTTAATTGTTTATCGAAAAGGCTATAAGATCTCAAATATAAGTATAATATTCTTTTTGTTAGCATGAACTTGACTTCACGAAAATTAATGGTTGCTACCGTTTTGTTTTTGCTAAGTTTTTTTGTTTCGATTTTTTATTGTAATCGTAACAGAGTTTTTCTTCTCAACAACGGAGTTACTTTGTTCTAATTAGGAATAACCAGAGGAACATTTCAAAACGTTTTTAACATATACGGCCATACCTTACCCATCGTGACTTTTCTCACCGAACAGGTGCCCCAACATCGACTGTGAGGGAAAGTCGTGAACAACAAACAGGTAAGAATCTCTGGAAGCCTGATGCTACTTATATTGAAGCCTGATGCCACTTATATCTGTCATGATAGTAACATAAGTCTCACATAATCTTCCAAACCTGTCTTCGAGCAAAGCTTGACGGAATACCAAGACTGATTTTTTCAAATTGTTTATATTACGTGTCCATAGTTACCTCTATTCAATCCCAAGACGCATGTTGATAAGCATATTGAAGTCTCCTTATGTCCTGTGGCAAAAACGAAGCCCAAATAGGTGGCACATTGCAATCAGCAACAGTTTGAGTAAAACGAAGCCATTAGTAATGCAACGTTAAAATCAACTTGAGAAACTATTTCCTGAGTCTGTAGCTTGCAATAACAAATTTTGAACCCAGTTTTCATTAATGTTACATGCAGTATTGGAAGGAAACCTTATTTCTGTTGATTAGCCCGCGCAACAAAATTCCACTGGAATTTCCTTTAACTTACAAAAATGAACAATATAAAAGAAGAATAAACGCTATAACATGACATTTCGGCGTCATCTTCTCGCCATTATCAAATGCAGATTTAAGTCGTTCAGTTCAGAAATATACTAGCTTAGGTGTTAAGGATCAAGAAAAATGTCAAGAACAATGTCGGCTAATTAAACACTTTTGCCCGAATAGGGTCTGCTTGTGTTTACGTTTGGTCTTTTATTCTTTGATTAGCAACATCTCATAAATCAGTTATTCCAGCTTCCCTCTTAAATCTGCATTTGATAATGGGGAAAGGATGACGCCGAAACGAAATACTATAGCGTTTATTTTTCTTTTAAAATGTTTTTCATATCTTCTTTAATCAAAAATGAACAAACGAATAAAAAATAAAATGAGGCATTCGGGAGAATCTTGTTGCTTTTAAACTGAATACGTCGCACAGAAACGTTAATTCTTCCTCGGAGTATACTTGCGATAGACAATATGAATTGACTTCACTTTTTGAAATATGGACGAAAAGACATGTGTCAAATTAAATAAATTTTTCGCATCATTTCTTCAATATTGTAGCTGAGGAATTGCCATAATGAAGGAAAATTAAGTGCACTTACTAAATTACATGAGCGATCAATTGTTACAGCTGGTGCAGACACTGAAAAGATGAAGAGATCGCGACTTACGATACAAGTATTCTACTTCATTTATCTCTTTCATATTCAGTTAACGGTTTTTACTCCAAGATGCATCCATATTCTATCACTTAGGTGCACTGAAAATAGCCTGGGTCACGAGTTCACCGAATGATATAATTGAAGGCAAACCAAGGGATTTGCAATGCTTTTTCTCGGGAATGCCACTCCCACACGAGGTCCATTGGTACAAGGATGGAGAACTAATCACAAACGAAACAGAAGGTATTTATCACTCAGAGGACGAGAAAGAGAAGAACGGCGAAAAAACTCTCCGAAGCACACTTCATCTTCCGCCGGGACGTGAGGAGCAGGAAGGATTTTACAAGTGCAGTGCAAGAAACAGTATTCCGAGCAGCGCGTCCTTTGAGATACAGATGATATATGAATGTAAGTAAAACTATTTATTCCTTGCAAAGTTAACTATATATGCCTCTTGCTATTAATATCCTTGCTATTATCCCCTGAATGGGTCCCTTAGATAAACCCTAACTGGGTTTTTTAGCTATGGGGCTGTACCACTTTTCATGCTGGAAAAAATGCCGTGATTTGAATTAGCGCGAATTGAGCACTGATCTTGAGTGGAGGAGGTAATGCTATTAATGCAAACGATAGAAAACTATTCTTCGGGAGTCGTTGTTATGTTTTAGATAAGTGATCTAGAAATCATCAAAAACTTTCTTTTCACGCTTTTTTAACACAGGTCCATTAGCAAAAGGCCCAACCAATCACTCATCGGAGATTCGTGCGCACAAATCTTCTAACGTCAGCTTGTCATGCTGGATTGACTATGATGACTATTGTCCAGAAGAACTGCTTTGGAAGTTAAACGACGAACCAGAACCCCTGCCCGAAAGCGGTAAAAAGTATAAAGTGGAACTAAAAGACACGCACACCAAATGCCAGAAAGAATTCATCCTCTCCATTTTTGACGTTACGGAAAGTGACGAGGGAACATACAGTTGCCGCTGGCTCTGCGAGTACGAAAACACCACAAAAGCTGCCATTGATTTGAAAGTAGTCGATGACCTGCAGACAGGTAGGAGTTTTCTCAATTCCTGTTTTACCGTTAAATCACTGCCGCAATAAGCTCACAATTGGGTCTGTTAATTTGAGTCCAAACAGTATGAAAATCTGACAGTTTTAGATCGAGTTAAAATGAAGTTACCAAAGTACACCTGAGATGTTAATAGTGCAGAAAATAGTGACAAGTGAGCTCGCCAAAACACGCGTCACGATGGAAGACTCAGTTCACTAGCTGGGACTTCGTAAGTACACATGAGTAAAATAAAGGAAACTGAAAGGAAAAAAATCCTGCTTAATTCTTCTAAAAAAGGTTGGTTCTTACTTCAAGTGGTAATAGAGAATGGAAAATCCTTTGGAAATGTTGCACAAAGATCACTGTAGGGCACTGAATATTAAAGATTTTCCGAAGCAATCATTTATCCATTTAATACAGTTCATCTCCAGCCTAGAGATCATTCAAGCTGGTCAAATTTTCTAGCGTTCTATTACGGATGCTATTTTCTTATTGCCAACCCTGCTCACTACCTATTCTGATGTAGATAGTGAGTAGCCTAGCAAAGTGCGGTAATTAACAAAATGGCGGCCGCTTCTTTGCGTTTTCAAAGTTTCTGTGAAGAGGATTTAAAGAAAGTTTTGAACGACTAGTAACTGCGCCCTCGTCAAGCTTTTAATTATTCTAAACTATTATAACGTATGTTCCTGGTGTCAGTAATACAAGAACGGGTCCGTTACCACAACTACCTTGTGTTCATAATCTGTTATTGAAATTTGGTTCGCATTTTGTCGACAGGAGTTATAGGCAGGTTTTAAAGTATCTTGGATTATGCATTGAAGATGATGACCAGGGCCAGGATGCGTTCTGGAAGCAGCGTGGATTAGCTAATATAGTGGACTAAAGTTACAATATTATCAAGTAATCTGTGTGGAGTTTTATCGTTTTCTTTTTTGTTTTTGTTTTTTCGTCATGGCATTTTTAAAGTTTAGACAAAGTCAAANAAATATAGTAGGGTTCCTAGTCATTCTGCTATGCAGCAAAGCTGCATGCATACTGATAGAATCATGAGCACTTTCCCGAAGCACTTCCTGTAGGCTGAATAGGCCAATTGTTAGTAGAATAATAAACGCCTACAAATTGAGGGCGTAAACAATATGAAGAGGATATTATAAAAGCTAAGCGAGATCGACCAAGCTGAGAGAGTTTGCAATTTGCGGCTAGACTGGGATGGACGGTTTAAAGAATCAACACCAACTTTGTTTGGTGAAATACGTTTTGTTTTCTTTGTCACTTATCATGATCCAAGGTATGTCTTAAAATTGAGTTATTCTGTCATTATTAGGAATGGTAAATGGCCCTTTAAAACCCATAGGTCTCCCCAAAATTTTCGTCGAATTTCACGAGTTCGCAGTCTCGATTTTTAGCGGCTATGTGCGTCTCGAGTCTCGATATTTTCTCACAAAGCTGTCTCGAACTACCGATTTATTTATGACGTTTGATCGTCTAAGAACCTGAACGTCACGAGCTCGCATTTAACTGACTTTGAAGTTTTGGTGTCAAAATGGCTTGGGCTCGCAAGAAAAAAACGCTCTCGCATTCCCGCACCGTTCACCACCTATTATTGTACGCAGCTATTTTCAGTCTCGATTCAATCCTCCAGGATCGATTTAGTTATAAACTCTATTAAGATCAAGGAGTCGTGGACACTTGAATGATCTATCCCACATTCTTGTTGATTTAAGAATCAAGTAAAATATCTTTGGGATGAAGGCATTTTTGGTCGTTTGAAAATATTTCGGAGGCTTTATGTGCAGGCTATGATCGCTGCACTTAAAGATCGCCCTGCTTGTGACACAATAATTTTTTTTTTTGACTTCTTAAAAACTCTATGGCATTACGTGCCTAATATTCGAAGTATTTAAGGTGATAACCTTGAATTTAAGGAGTGTTTATTGAGAGGAATTATGAAAATCAAGTCTTGTCTAGAACTGTAAAGGAGTATGGAATATTTCAATTTTTTACCATGAATAATCAATACGCCTACATGCACACATGAATAACGACTGAATACCAATCCAAAAAATTTCGATTATTTGTGGGAGGTTAGGAAAAATGAAAAGTTATGGATGTGTTCGGCTTTATTATTAGTATCGTTATCACATCAGTTGAGATATGACACATCTGTTTTTGTCAACATAAACTATTGCGAAATTTATATTAGCTGATTTGTGAGGGCTTTAAATAGGGCTAAACCAAATTATCAGTCTTATAGTAGCTATCATCGCCGTGACATCGATCATTTGTGAGAATACAAGGGACTACGACATGCAATTTTTTAACCCTGTCAACTTGGATTTTACTGTAGCCTTCACTAAAGAGCTAAGTTAAGGATATTGACCTTGTCGACTGTTCTCGTTTGATTCAGTTTTTACGTAAATTAATGATCGATGCCAGAAGCCATTTATAGGTAAGAATTGTGCTATTCCTTTTCGTGAAATGCAGTCCCCATGTAGGATAAAATTAGCAACACGTCATTCCTAAATGGGGACAAACATATGTTGACTTTTTAGATCGGTTGCAGTTTCTCGTGATATTTTATTCACTGGTATGGCCAATAATGATCAAATTATCGAATTCTCTTCCTAAAACCGAGGAAACCTATCCCCTATCAGCTTTGGTTTAAAATGCGGTAACCTACTTCTTACATTTAAAATTTGTACAGTGTACACGTCTACAATACATGACCTTAGCTAATCAGTAGTGTCTTCCATCTACGTAGTTTGAGACAGGCAACAAAATTGCCTTCTAAATAACTTTCCAAATTCAAGGTCAGAGTGCAAAACATACCCTACATGAGACTCTCATAATGAATACCTTATTTCAGAGAAAAACGGCACGCCACAACGTGTAATAGCCTAAGTCCCGCACGTACTTATCTGGCTTATATTAATTAGCCTATTAGCTCATATAAGGGAGTGTATCCATGCTAATGAAGTGTCTTTGGTTTCTACCTAGTGTTGACTAGTTTGAGTTGAGAGTAAAGAAAACGGCGAGGAATAAAAACAGCAACATTAATGAACATTAAACATTAATGCGCACGTTATTCCATTCATCGAGTGACGAAGTACTAACGGTTTCATTGTGTTCAGCTGGAATGGGTTCGTCTTTTAATTGTTTATCGAAAAGGCTATAAGATCTCAAATATAAGTATAATATTCTTTTTGTTAGCATGAACTTGACTTCACGAAAATTAATGGTTGCTACCGTTTTGTTTTTGCTAAGTTTTTTTGTTTCGATTTTTTATTGTAATCGTAACAGAGTTTTTCTTCTCAACAACGGAGTTACTTTGTTCTAATTAGGAATAACCAGAGGAACATTTCAAAACGTTTTTAACATATACGGCCATACCTTACCCATCGTGACTTTTCTCACCGAACAGGTGCCCCAACATCGACTGTGAGGGAAAGTCGTGAACAACAAACAGGTAAGAATCTCTGGAAGCCTGATGCTACTTATATTGAAGCCTGATGCCACTTATATCTGTCATGATAGTAACATAAGTCTCACATAATCTTCCAAACCTGTCTTCGAGCAAAGCTTGACGGAATACCAAGACTGATTTTTTCAAATTGTTTATATTACGTGTCCATAGTTACCTCTATTCAATCCCAAGACGCATGTTGATAAGCATATTGAAGTCTCCTTATGTCCTGTGGCAAAAACGAAGCCCAAATAGGTGGCACATTGCAATCAGCAACAGTTTGAGTAAAACGAAGCCATTAGTAATGCAACGTTAAAATCAACTTGAGAAACTATTTCCTGAGTCTGTAGCTTGCAATAACAAATTTTGAACCCAGTTTTCATTAATGTTACATGCAGTATTGGAAGGAAACCTTATTTCTGTTGATTAGCCCGCGCAACAAAATTCCACTGGAATTTCCTTTAACTTACAAAAATGAACAATATAAAAGAAGAATAAACGCTATAACATGACATTTCGGCGTCATCTTCTCGCCATTATCAAATGCAGATTTAAGTCGTTCAGTTCAGAAATATACTAGCTTAGGTGTTAAGGATCAAGAAAAATGTCAAGAACAATGTCGGCTAATTAAACACTTTTGCCCGAATAGGGTCTGCTTGTGTTTACGTTTGGTCTTTTATTCTTTGATTAGCAACATCTCATAAATCAGTTATTCCAGCTTCCCTCTTAAATCTGCATTTGATAATGGGGAAAGGATGACGCCGAAACGAAATACTATAGCGTTTATTTTTCTTTTAAAATGTTTTTCATATCTTCTTTAATCAAAAATGAACAAACGAATAAAAAATAAAATGAGGCATTCGGGAGAATCTTGTTGCTTTTAAACTGAATACGTCGCACAGAAACGTTAATTCTTCCTCGGAGTATACTTGCGATAGACAATATGAATTGACTTCACTTTTTGAAATATGGACGAAAAGACATGTGTCAAATTAAATAAATTTTTCGCATCATTTCTTCAATATTGTAGCTGAGGAATTGCCATAATGAAGGAAAATTAAGTGCACTTACTAAATTACATGAGCGATCAATTGTTACAGCTGGTGCAGACACTGAAAAGATGAAGAGATCGCGACTTACGATACAAGTATTCTACTTCATTTATCTCTTTCATATTCAGTTAACGGTTTTTACTCCAAGATGCATCCATATTCTATCACTTAGGTGCACTGAAAATAGCCTGGGTCACGAGTTCACCGAATGATATAATTGAAGGCAAACCAAGGGATTTGCAATGCTTTTTCTCGGGAATGCCACTCCCACACGAGGTCCATTGGTACAAGGATGGAGAACTAATCACAAACGAAACAGAAGGTATTTATCACTCAGAGGACGAGAAAGAGAAGAACGGCGAAAAAACTCTCCGAAGCACACTTCATCTTCCGCCGGGACGTGAGGAGCAGGAAGGATTTTACAAGTGCAGTGCAAGAAACAGTATTCCGAGCAGCGCGTCCTTTGAGATACAGATGATATATGAATGTAAGTAAAACTATTTATTCCTTGCAAAGTTAACTATATATGCCTCTTGCTATTAATATCCTTGCTATTATCCCCTGAATGGGTCCCTTAGATAAACCCTAACTGGGTTTTTTAGCTATGGGGCTGTACCACTTTTCATGCTGGAAAAAATGCCGTGATTTGAATTAGCGCGAATTGAGCACTGATCTTGAGTGGAGGAGGTAATGCTATTAATGCAAACGATAGAAAACTATTCTTCGGGAGTCGTTGTTATGTTTTAGATAAGTGATCTAGAAATCATCAAAAACTTTCTTTTCACGCTTTTTTAACACAGGTCCATTAGCAAAAGGCCCAACCAATCACTCATCGGAGATTCGTGCGCACAAATCTTCTAACGTCAGCTTGTCATGCTGGATTGACTATGATGACTATTGTCCAGAAGAACTGCTTTGGAAGTTAAACGACGAACCAGAACCCCTGCCCGAAAGCGGTAAAAAGTATAAAGTGGAACTAAAAGACACGCACACCAAATGCCAGAAAGAATTCATCCTCTCCATTTTTGACGTTACGGAAAGTGACGAGGGAACATACAGTTGCCGCTGGCTCTGCGAGTACGAAAACACCACAAAAGCTGCCATTGATTTGAAAGTAGTCGATGACCTGCAGACAGGTAGGAGTTTTCTCAATTCCTGTTTTACCGTTAAATCACTGCCGCAATAAGCTCACAATTGGGTCTGTTAATTTGAGTCCAAACAGTATGAAAATCTGACAGTTTTAGATCGAGTTAAAATGAAGTTACCAAAGTACACCTGAGATGTTAATAGTGCAGAAAATAGTGACAAGTGAGCTCGCCAAAACACGCGTCACGATGGAAGACTCAGTTCACTAGCTGGGACTTCGTAAGTACACATGAGTAAAATAAAGGAAACTGAAAGGAAAAAAATCCTGCTTAATTCTTCTAAAAAAGGTTGGTTCTTACTTCAAGTGGTAATAGAGAATGGAAAATCCTTTGGAAATGTTGCACAAAGATCACTGTAGGGCACTGAATATGAAAGCTTTTCCGAAGCAATCATTTATCCATTTAATACAGTTCATCTCCAGCCTAGAGATCGTTCAAGCTGGTCAAATTTTCTAGCGTTCTATTACGGATCCTATTTTCTTATTGCCAACCCTGCTCACTACCTATTCTGTTGTAGATAGTGAGTAGCCTAGCAAAGTGCGGTAATTGACTAAATGGCGGCCGCTTCTTTGCGTTTTCGAAGTTTCTTTGAAGAGGATTTAAAGAACGTTTTGAACGACTAGTAACTGCGCCCTCGTCAAGCTTTTAATGATTCTAAACTATTATAACGTATGTTCCTGGTGTCAGTAATACAACAACGGGTCCGTTACCACAACTACCTTGTGTTCATAATCTGTTACTGAAATTTGGTTCGCATTTTGTCGACAGGAGTTATAGGCAGGTTTTAAAGTATCTTGGATTATGCATTGAAGATGATCAGGGCCAGGATGAGTTCTGGAAGCAGCGAGGATTAGCTAATATAGTGGACTAAAGTTACAATATTATCAAGTAATCTGTGTGGAGTTTTATCATTTTCTTTTTTGTTTTTGTTTTTTCCTCATGGCATTTTTAAAGTTTAGACAAAGTCAAACCGTAATTTAGAATTATCTGTGAAATAAGCTTTGAAACAACAGAAGTAAGAACCTTGGTTAACAATATGAATCATGGAATTAGGTTAATCGGCTTTTGAGCTTTTCCCCACACTTGAAAAGGACTCTGTAGATGGAATCTATAAAATCAATCAGCAATAGTGTGCAACGTGAAGCTTTAAAATGTTTTAGTTCTTATTCATAATTAAGCAAAAGAGGACTTTTTACGTGTTTATACAGCTTCATCCAAACACGAGGGCACACAGTCGAGGGTTTGCATAACTTTCGAGAATTCTCCCAAACCCCCGAGTGTTTAGATGCGGCTATGTAAACACGGAAAAAAGTTCTCTATTACTTTCACAAAATATTTCTCAAAAACAATTTGACAAATGAAGAGAAATTGTGTTTATTTACTTATTGATCCAAATAAATTTTCTCAATACACGCTCTGGACAATCATCTTTTCTACAAGCCAATCAAAACGCGCACCTGACAACAGATGAGCCAATGAAAATTCGCGTTGCAAAAGTCAAAATCAAGTTGAAATTTGTGGAAAGCGCCAGCGCGCGCCGTTTAAATAAATGCGATTTCAGCTTTGAATCCTCCTAAATCTTGCGGAAAAATGCCTCAAGTTCGGCGAAAACTGGGTAACTATTATATAATCCAGCTTAAGGGGGCTTGCTCAACACGATGAAATCGATGCGTGGTAACGTTTAACAACCGAGCCAAACCAAAACATCCCTTCCGGACTAAGCAATGTAAACCAAAGATTTGGACTTAAATTTGGTTTTATATGACTTAAGATATTACACGCCTTATGGCTATTAGTGATCGCACAACTTGCCCTGAACTCACAAAATGACAGAAGTTTAGAAATTTTATTTATAAGTGTTTTCTCTTTTTTCTATATTATCTTACTCATAAAAGGGAGTTAAGCTACAACGAGACTTTGGATACTTCAGTAACCACCGGCTAGATCCAAGGCAATGGAATTGCCTAAAACAAAAAAAAAAACCGTTAGTTAATCTCAGACAAAGTAGAAATATAGGCGTGTTAAATGAAGTTGCTATATAGTTGGAATGTCTCACCCAACAGCGCGTTGTCTCGTGACATCTATCAATACAACTGTTTCCTTCCAAACGACTCTGAGAGGGTAACATTATGTGTTGACGAACGATCGCTAATTCCAATGTCTTCGTTGTCATTATATGACAAATCAATGGTATTAAAAAAAACAGCATGAACTCTCACGTTCTCATTGGTTTAGAGCTAAAACTCGACAAGAGAACTGATCGTGAAAACTAACTTTTACAACATTTTGTAACCTGGAACATTAGAGGCGGTCCAATTTGCAGATTTTGGTANAAATATAGTAGGGTTCCTAGTCATTCTGCTATGCAGCAAAGCTGCATGCATACTGATAGAATCATGAGCACTTTCCCGAAGCACTTCCTGTAGGCTGAATAGGCCAATTGTTAGTAGAATAATAAACGCCTACAAATTGAGGGCGTAAACAATATGAAGAGGATATTATAAAAGCTAAGCGAGATCGACCAAGCTGAGAGAGTTTGCAATTTGCGGCTAGACTGGGATGGACGGTTTAAAGAATCAACACCAACTTTGTTTGGTGAAATACGTTTTGTTTTCTTTGTCACTTATCATGATCCAAGGTATGTCTTAAAATTGAGTTATTCTGTCATTATTAGGAATGGTAAATGGCCCTTTAAAACCCATAGGTCTCCCCAAAATTTTCGTCGAATTTCACGAGTTCGCAGTCTCGATTTTTAGCGGCTATGTGCGTCTCGAGTCTCGATATTTTCTCACAAAGCTGTCTCGAACTACCGATTTATTTATGACGTTTGATCGTCTAAGAACCTGAACGTCACGAGCTCGCATTTAACTGACTTTGAAGTTTTGGTGTCAAAATGGCTTGGGCTCGCAAGAAAAAAACGCTCTCGCATTCCCGCACCGTTCACCACCTATTATTGTACGCAGCTATTTTCAGTCTCGATTCAATCCTCCAGGATCGATTTAGTTATAAACTCTATTAAGATCAAGGAGTCGTGGACACTTGAATGATCTATCCCACATTCTTGTTGATTTAAGAATCAAGTAAAATATCTTTGGGATGAAGGCATTTTTGGTCGTTTGAAAATATTTCGGAGGCTTTATGTGCAGGCTATGATCGCTGCACTTAAAGATCGCCCTGCTTGTGACACAATAATTTTTTTTTTTGACTTCTTAAAAACTCTATGGCATTACGTGCCTAATATTCGAAGTATTTAAGGTGATAACCTTGAATTTAAGGAGTGTTTATTGAGAGGAATTATGAAAATCAAGTCTTGTCTAGAACTGTAAAGGAGTATGGAATATTTCAATTTTTTACCATGAATAATCAATACGCCTACATGCACACATGAATAACGACTGAATACCAATCCAAAAAATTTCGATTATTTGTGGGAGGTTAGGAAAAATGAAAAGTTATGGATGTGTTCGGCTTTATTATTAGTATCGTTATCACATCAGTTGAGATATGACACATCTGTTTTTGTCAACATAAACTATTGCGAAATTTATATTAGCTGATTTGTGAGGGCTTTAAATAGGGCTAAACCAAATTATCAGTCTTATAGTAGCTATCATCGCCGTGACATCGATCATTTGTGAGAATACAAGGGACTACGACATGCAATTTTTTAACCCTGTCAACTTGGATTTTACTGTAGCCTTCACTAAAGAGCTAAGTTAAGGATATTGACCTTGTCGACTGTTCTCGTTTGATTCAGTTTTTACGTAAATTAATGATCGATGCCAGAAGCCATTTATAGGTAAGAATTGTGCTATTCCTTTTCGTGAAATGCAGTCCCCATGTAGGATAAAATTAGCAACACGTCATTCCTAAATGGGGACAAACATATGTTGACTTTTTAGATCGGTTGCAGTTTCTCGTGATATTTTATTCACTGGTATGGCCAATAATGATCAAATTATCGAATTCTCTTCCTAAAACCGAGGAAACCTATCCCCTATCAGCTTTGGTTTAAAATGCGGTAACCTACTTCTTACATTTAAAATTTGTACAGTGTACACGTCTACAATACATGACCTTAGCTAATCAGTAGTGTCTTCCATCTACGTAGTTTGAGACAGGCAACAAAATTGCCTTCTAAATAACTTTCCAAATTCAAGGTCAGAGTGCAAAACATACCCTACATGAGACTCTCATAATGAATACCTTATTTCAGAGAAAAACGGCACGCCACAACGTGTAATAGCCTAAGTCCCGCACGTACTTATCTGGCTTATATTAATTAGCCTATTAGCTCATATAAGGGAGTGTATCCATGCTAATGAAGTGTCTTTGGTTTCTACCTAGTGTTGACTAGTTTGAGTTGAGAGTAAAGAAAACGGCGAGGAATAAAAACAGCAACATTAATGAACATTAAACATTAATGCGCACGTTATTCCATTCATCGAGTGACGAAGTACTAACGGTTTCATTGTGTTCAGCTGGAATGGGTTCGTCTTTTAATTGTTTATCGAAAAGGCTATAAGATCTCAAATATAAGTATAATATTCTTTTTGTTAGCATGAACTTGACTTCACGAAAATTAATGGTTGCTACCGTTTTGTTTTTGCTAAGTTTTTTTGTTTCGATTTTTTATTGTAATCGTAACAGAGTTTTTCTTCTCAACAACGGAGTTACTTTGTTCTAATTAGGAATAACCAGAGGAACATTTCAAAACGTTTTTAACATATACGGCCATACCTTACCCATCGTGACTTTTCTCACCGAACAGGTGCCCCAACATCGACTGTGAGGGAAAGTCGTGAACAACAAACAGGTAAGAATCTCTGGAAGCCTGATGCTACTTATATTGAAGCCTGATGCCACTTATATCTGTCATGATAGTAACATAAGTCTCACATAATCTTCCAAACCTGTCTTCGAGCAAAGCTTGACGGAATACCAAGACTGATTTTTTCAAATTGTTTATATTACGTGTCCATAGTTACCTCTATTCAATCCCAAGACGCATGTTGATAAGCATATTGAAGTCTCCTTATGTCCTGTGGCAAAAACGAAGCCCAAATAGGTGGCACATTGCAATCAGCAACAGTTTGAGTAAAACGAAGCCATTAGTAATGCAACGTTAAAATCAACTTGAGAAACTATTTCCTGAGTCTGTAGCTTGCAATAACAAATTTTGAACCCAGTTTTCATTAATGTTACATGCAGTATTGGAAGGAAACCTTATTTCTGTTGATTAGCCCGCGCAACAAAATTCCACTGGAATTTCCTTTAACTTACAAAAATGAACAATATAAAAGAAGAATAAACGCTATAACATGACATTTCGGCGTCATCTTCTCGCCATTATCAAATGCAGATTTAAGTCGTTCAGTTCAGAAATATACTAGCTTAGGTGTTAAGGATCAAGAAAAATGTCAAGAACAATGTCGGCTAATTAAACACTTTTGCCCGAATAGGGTCTGCTTGTGTTTACGTTTGGTCTTTTATTCTTTGATTAGCAACATCTCATAAATCAGTTATTCCAGCTTCCCTCTTAAATCTGCATTTGATAATGGGGAAAGGATGACGCCGAAACGAAATACTATAGCGTTTATTTTTCTTTTAAAATGTTTTTCATATCTTCTTTAATCAAAAATGAACAAACGAATAAAAAATAAAATGAGGCATTCGGGAGAATCTTGTTGCTTTTAAACTGAATACGTCGCACAGAAACGTTAATTCTTCCTCGGAGTATACTTGCGATAGACAATATGAATTGACTTCACTTTTTGAAATATGGACGAAAAGACATGTGTCAAATTAAATAAATTTTTCGCATCATTTCTTCAATATTGTAGCTGAGGAATTGCCATAATGAAGGAAAATTAAGTGCACTTACTAAATTACATGAGCGATCAATTGTTACAGCTGGTGCAGACACTGAAAAGATGAAGAGATCGCGACTTACGATACAAGTATTCTACTTCATTTATCTCTTTCATATTCAGTTAACGGTTTTTACTCCAAGATGCATCCATATTCTATCACTTAGGTGCACTGAAAATAGCCTGGGTCACGAGTTCACCGAATGATATAATTGAAGGCAAACCAAGGGATTTGCAATGCTTTTTCTCGGGAATGCCACTCCCACACGAGGTCCATTGGTACAAGGATGGAGAACTAATCACAAACGAAACAGAAGGTATTTATCACTCAGAGGACGAGAAAGAGAAGAACGGCGAAAAAACTCTCCGAAGCACACTTCATCTTCCGCCGGGACGTGAGGAGCAGGAAGGATTTTACAAGTGCAGTGCAAGAAACAGTATTCCGAGCAGCGCGTCCTTTGAGATACAGATGATATATGAATGTAAGTAAAACTATTTATTCCTTGCAAAGTTAACTATATATGCCTCTTGCTATTAATATCCTTGCTATTATCCCCTGAATGGGTCCCTTAGATAAACCCTAACTGGGTTTTTTAGCTATGGGGCTGTACCACTTTTCATGCTGGAAAAAATGCCGTGATTTGAATTAGCGCGAATTGAGCACTGATCTTGAGTGGAGGAGGTAATGCTATTAATGCAAACGATAGAAAACTATTCTTCGGGAGTCGTTGTTATGTTTTAGATAAGTGATCTAGAAATCATCAAAAACTTTCTTTTCACGCTTTTTTAACACAGGTCCATTAGCAAAAGGCCCAACCAATCACTCATCGGAGATTCGTGCGCACAAATCTTCTAACGTCAGCTTGTCATGCTGGATTGACTATGATGACTATTGTCCAGAAGAACTGCTTTGGAAGTTAAACGACGAACCAGAACCCCTGCCCGAAAGCGGTAAAAAGTATAAAGTGGAACTAAAAGACACGCACACCAAATGCCAGAAAGAATTCATCCTCTCCATTTTTGACGTTACGGAAAGTGACGAGGGAACATACAGTTGCCGCTGGCTCTGCGAGTACGAAAACACCACAAAAGCTGCCATTGATTTGAAAGTAGTCGATGACCTGCAGACAGGTAGGAGTTTTCTCAATTCCTGTTTTACCGTTAAATCACTGCCGCAATAAGCTCACAATTGGGTCTGTTAATTTGAGTCCAAACAGTATGAAAATCTGACAGTTTTAGATCGAGTTAAAATGAAGTTACCAAAGTACACCTGAGATGTTAATAGTGCAGAAAATAGTGACAAGTGAGCTCGCCAAAACACGCGTCACGATGGAAGACTCAGTTCACTAGCTGGGACTTCGTAAGTACACATGAGTAAAATAAAGGAAACTGAAAGGAAAAAAATCCTGCTTAATTCTTCTAAAAAAGGTTGGTTCTTACTTCAAGTGGTAATAGAGAATGGAAAATCCTTTGGAAATGTTGCACAAAGATCACTGTAGGGCACTGAATATTAAAGATTTTCCGAAGCAATCATTTATCCATTTAATACAGTTCATCTCCAGCCTAGAGATCATTCAAGCTGGTCAAATTTTCTAGCGTTCTATTACGGATGCTATTTTCTTATTGCCAACCCTGCTCACTACCTATTCTGATGTAGATAGTGAGTAGCCTAGCAAAGTGCGGTAATTAACAAAATGGCGGCCGCTTCTTTGCGTTTTCAAAGTTTCTGTGAAGAGGATTTAAAGAAAGTTTTGAACGACTAGTAACTGCGCCCTCGTCAAGCTTTTAATTATTCTAAACTATTATAACGTATGTTCCTGGTGTCAGTAATACAAGAACGGGTCCGTTACCACAACTACCTTGTGTTCATAATCTGTTATTGAAATTTGGTTCGCATTTTGTCGACAGGAGTTATAGGCAGGTTTTAAAGTATCTTGGATTATGCATTGAAGATGATGACCAGGGCCAGGATGCGTTCTGGAAGCAGCGTGGATTAGCTAATATAGTGGACTAAAGTTACAATATTATCAAGTAATCTGTGTGGAGTTTTATCGTTTTCTTTTTTGTTTTTGTTTTTTCGTCATGGCATTTTTAAAGTTTAGACAAAGTCAAACCGTAATTTAGAATTATCAGTGAAATAAGCTTTGAAACAACAGAAGTAAGAACCTTGGTTAACAATATGAATCATGGAATTAGGTTAATCGGCTTTTGAGCTTTTCCCCACACTTGAAAAGGACTCTGTAGATGGAATCTATAAAATCAATCAGCAATAGTGTGCAACGTGAAGCTTTAAAATGTTTTAGTTCTTATTCATAATTAAGCAAAAGAGGACTTTTTACGTGTTTATACAGCTTCATCCAAACACGAGGGCACACAGTCGAGGGTTTGCATAACTTTCGAGAATTCTCCCAAACCCCCGAGTGTTTAGATGCGGCTATGTAAACACGGAAAAAAGTTCTCTATTACTTTCACAAAATATTTCTCAAAAACAATTTGACAAATGAAGAGAAATTGTGTTTATTTACTTATTGATCCAAATAAATTTTCTCAATACACGCTCTGGACAATCATCTTTTCTACAAGCCAATCAAAACGCGCACCTGACAACAGATGAGCCAATGAAAATTCGCGTTGCAAAAGTCAAAATCAAGTTGAAATTTGTGGAAAGCGCCAGCGCGCGCCGTTTAAATAAATGCGATTTCAGCTTTGAATCCTCCTAAATCTTGCGGAAAAATGCCTCAAGTTCGGCGAAAACTGGGTAACTATTATATAATCCAGCTTAAGGGGGCTTGCTCAACACGATGAAATCGATGCGTGGTAACGTTTAACAACCGAGCCAAACCAAAACATCCCTTCCGGACTAAGCAATGTAAACCAAAGATTTGGACTTAAATTTGGTTTTATATGACTTAAGATATTACACGCCTTATGGCTATTAGTGATCGCACAACTTGCCCTGAACTCACAAAATGACAGAAGTTTAGAAATTTTATTTATAAGTGTTTTCTCTTTTTTCTATATTATCTTACTCATAAAAGGGAGTTAAGCTACAACGAGACTTTGGATACTTCAGTAACCACCGGCTAGATCCAAGGCAATGGAATTGCCTAAAACAAAAAAAAAAACCGTTAGTTAATCTCAGACAAAGTAGAAATATAGGCGTGTTAAATGAAGTTGCTATATAGTTGGAATGTCTCACCCAACAGCGCGTTGTCTCGTGACATCTATCAATACAACTGTTTCCTTCCAAACGACTCTGAGAGGGTAACATTATGTGTTGACGAACGATCGCTAATTCCAATGTCTTCGTTGTCATTATATGACAAATCAATGGTATTAAAAAAAACAGCATGAACTCTCACGTTCTCATTGGTTTAGAGCTAAAACTCGACAAGAGAACTGATCGTGAAAACTAACTTTTACAACATTTTGTAACCTGGAACATTAGAGGCGGTCCAATTTGCAGATTTTGGTAGCTCTTATGGATTTCAAGACAAAATATCAACGCTTTTACTCTTCAAGGTATCTTTTAGGGCTGCACACGAAGAAATAAATGAACGTCGTCAAAATGTGTTTGTAGTGCAGATTGATCTTTCTAGGCTTACTCATGACTCAAAATATTCGATGTCGATGTCTTTATCGTTCTTAAAATTACTATAGCTCTTCTTATCTGTCTGTTTTAGATCCGTATCTTTCAAGGGCCAGAGAGCCAAGCCCAGAAAAGTCTCTTTTAGGGTTAATTTGACTTTTTTGGACGAACATTCCCCCTTTAGCCTTGGAGATTCATGAGGTCAAAGGTTTGCAACTTACGCGTTTTGGTGTACAGTGCAGACGCCTTCTTTTTCTTCACGACAAACCAAACACATAACACGAACAGCACACCGATACTGGCTGATAAAATCACGATCAGCAGGAGCCACTCTCTGCGAATTCCTGTGAAGTAAAAAAGACGCCAAAACACATTTAAGACTCTTTCCTAATGGCGTCAGTAGAATCTAGAGCTAAACAAATGTCTTCACTTTGTCCTGTTGAATATCAAAAAGTACTTCTTCTTTGTAAAAATCTATTACGTTATTGGTGAATCATTTCTCGTTGAGCACAATCGTGCGCAAAAACTTTTCAAGAACCTGAGAAGGATTTTTTTGTTCACCTATATAATTGGGCCTCCTGGTTACTAATTGTACCCTCATTCCATATCAGTGAACAGTACGATGTTCTCTCCGGGCCCGTCAATGTGGTTTTAAAGACTTTTTGTAAGTAGTTATTGCAGAAGTTATTTGGGATGACACAGCGCTTCTAGTCCCTTCCTTGTGCGTAGAAGCATGGCGTAACATAAGTGTCAAGAAAGGACACTGCCAATAATGTGACAGACACACTAGATGGATGACGGAAGCAGTTTTCTGTGAACAAAAGTCTAGCACTGACCTGAAGGCGGAGAAGAAAGCAAAGCATTTTTCGGCGAGGTGGTCGCACTTTCAGTTGTTGCTTGAACTAGAATAGATAACAACTTAATTGAATTTATAAATACTTGTAAAATGTATCCTACCTAACACAAAAAAGGAAAGGTATACGAATTTAAAGCTTTGTTGAGAAGAGATTTTGGGTTGGGTGAAGTGCAGACGTTCTTGACCTGATCATCTCATCCGAAATACTATCACAAAATGAAGAATAAATGACGAAGATAACGTCAGCTGTATACTTTTACTCTTCGTGTCTTCGTAGCCACGATACTTTTAATTAGAGTTGTGAACCCTCGATAAATAAAGACTTTATCTTATGCTGTTACCATCTGTGCACTTGGTAAGATCTATTAGGGTGGTATTTCGGGCATCCTATTTCTGAAAAAGACGGTGCCCATCCATNTCCCAAGACGCATGTTGATAAGCATATTGAAGTCTCCTTATGTCCTGTGGCAAAAACGAAGCCCAAATAGGTGGCACATTGCAATCAGCAACAGTTTGAGTAAAACGAAGCCATTAGTAATGCAACGTTAAAATCAACTTGAGAAACTATTTCCTGAGTCTGTAGCTTGCAATAACAAATTTTGAACCCAGTTTTCATTAATGTTACATGCAGTATTGGAAGGAAACCTTATTTCTGTTGATTAGCCCGCGCAACAAAATTCCACTGGAATTTCCTTTAACTTACAAAAATGAACAATATAAAAGAAGAATAAACGCTATAACATGACATTTCGGCGTCATCTTCTCGCCATTATCAAATGCAGATTTAAGTCGTTCAGTTCAGAAATATACTAGCTTAGGTGTTAAGGATCAAGAAAAATGTCAAGAACAATGTCGGCTAATTAAACACTTTTGCCCGAATAGGGTCTGCTTGTGTTTACGTTTGGTCTTTTATTCTTTGATTAGCAACATCTCATAAATCAGTTATTCCAGCTTCCCTCTTAAATCTGCATTTGATAATGGGGAAAGGATGACGCCGAAACGAAATACTATAGCGTTTATTTTTCTTTTAAAATGTTTTTCATATCTTCTTTAATCAAAAATGAACAAACGAATAAAAAATAAAATGAGGCATTCGGGAGAATCTTGTTGCTTTTAAACTGAATACGTCGCACAGAAACGTTAATTCTTCCTCGGAGTATACTTGCGATAGACAATATGAATTGACTTCACTTTTTGAAATATGGACGAAAAGACATGTGTCAAATTAAATAAATTTTTCGCATCATTTCTTCAATATTGTAGCTGAGGAATTGCCATAATGAAGGAAAATTAAGTGCACTTACTAAATTACATGAGCGATCAATTGTTACAGCTGGTGCAGACACTGAAAAGATGAAGAGATCGCGACTTACGATACAAGTATTCTACTTCATTTATCTCTTTCATATTCAGTTAACGGTTTTTACTCCAAGATGCATCCATATTCTATCACTTAGGTGCACTGAAAATAGCCTGGGTCACGAGTTCACCGAATGATATAATTGAAGGCAAACCAAGGGATTTGCAATGCTTTTTCTCGGGAATGCCACTCCCACACGAGGTCCATTGGTACAAGGATGGAGAACTAATCACAAACGAAACAGAAGGTATTTATCACTCAGAGGACGAGAAAGAGAAGAACGGCGAAAAAACTCTCCGAAGCACACTTCATCTTCCGCCGGGACGTGAGGAGCAGGAAGGATTTTACAAGTGCAGTGCAAGAAACAGTATTCCGAGCAGCGCGTCCTTTGAGATACAGATGATATATGAATGTAAGTAAAACTATTTATTCCTTGCAAAGTTAACTATATATGCCTCTTGCTATTAATATCCTTGCTATTATCCCCTGAATGGGTCCCTTAGATAAACCCTAACTGGGTTTTTTAGCTATGGGGCTGTACCACTTTTCATGCTGGAAAAAATGCCGTGATTTGAATTAGCGCGAATTGAGCACTGATCTTGAGTGGAGGAGGTAATGCTATTAATGCAAACGATAGAAAACTATTCTTCGGGAGTCGTTGTTATGTTTTAGATAAGTGATCTAGAAATCATCAAAAACTTTCTTTTCACGCTTTTTTAACACAGGTCCATTAGCAAAAGGCCCAACCAATCACTCATCGGAGATTCGTGCGCACAAATCTTCTAACGTCAGCTTGTCATGCTGGATTGACTATGATGACTATTGTCCAGAAGAACTGCTTTGGAAGTTAAACGACGAACCAGAACCCCTGCCCGAAAGCGGTAAAAAGTATAAAGTGGAACTAAAAGACACGCACACCAAATGCCAGAAAGAATTCATCCTCTCCATTTTTGACGTTACGGAAAGTGACGAGGGAACATACAGTTGCCGCTGGCTCTGCGAGTACGAAAACACCACAAAAGCTGCCATTGATTTGAAAGTAGTCGATGACCTGCAGACAGGTAGGAGTTTTCTCAATTCCTGTTTTACCGTTAAATCACTGCCGCAATAAGCTCACAATTGGGTCTGTTAATTTGAGTCCAAACAGTATGAAAATCTGACAGTTTTAGATCGAGTTAAAATGAAGTTACCAAAGTACACCTGAGATGTTAATAGTGCAGAAAATAGTGACAAGTGAGCTCGCCAAAACACGCGTCACGATGGAAGACTCAGTTCACTAGCTGGGACTTCGTAAGTACACATGAGTAAAATAAAGGAAACTGAAAGGAAAAAAATCCTGCTTAATTCTTCTAAAAAAGGTTGGTTCTTACTTCAAGTGGTAATAGAGAATGGAAAATCCTTTGGAAATGTTGCACAAAGATCACTGTAGGGCACTGAATATTAAAGATTTTCCGAAGCAATCATTTATCCATTTAATACAGTTCATCTCCAGCCTAGAGATCATTCAAGCTGGTCAAATTTTCTAGCGTTCTATTACGGATGCTATTTTCTTATTGCCAACCCTGCTCACTACCTATTCTGATGTAGATAGTGAGTAGCCTAGCAAAGTGCGGTAATTAACAAAATGGCGGCCGCTTCTTTGCGTTTTCAAAGTTTCTGTGAAGAGGATTTAAAGAAAGTTTTGAACGACTAGTAACTGCGCCCTCGTCAAGCTTTTAATTATTCTAAACTATTATAACGTATGTTCCTGGTGTCAGTAATACAAGAACGGGTCCGTTACCACAACTACCTTGTGTTCATAATCTGTTATTGAAATTTGGTTCGCATTTTGTCGACAGGAGTTATAGGCAGGTTTTAAAGTATCTTGGATTATGCATTGAAGATGATGACCAGGGCCAGGATGCGTTCTGGAAGCAGCGTGGATTAGCTAATATAGTGGACTAAAGTTACAATATTATCAAGTAATCTGTGTGGAGTTTTATCGTTTTCTTTTTTGTTTTTGTTTTTTCGTCATGGCATTTTTAAAGTTTAGACAAAGTCAAACCGTAATTTAGAATTATCAGTGAAATAAGCTTTGAAACAACAGAAGTAAGAACCTTGGTTAACAATATGAATCATGGAATTAGGTTAATCGGCTTTTGAGCTTTTCCCCACACTTGAAAAGGACTCTGTAGATGGAATCTATAAAATCAATCAGCAATAGTGTGCAACGTGAAGCTTTAAAATGTTTTAGTTCTTATTCATAATTAAGCAAAAGAGGACTTTTTACGTGTTTATACAGCTTCATCCAAACACGAGGGCACACAGTCGAGGGTTTGCATAACTTTCGAGAATTCTCCCAAACCCCCGAGTGTTTAGATGCGGCTATGTAAACACGGAAAAAAGTTCTCTATTACTTTCACAAAATATTTCTCAAAAACAATTTGACAAATGAAGAGAAATTGTGTTTATTTACTTATTGATCCAAATAAATTTTCTCAATACACGCTCTGGACAATCATCTTTTCTACAAGCCAATCAAAACGCGCACCTGACAACAGATGAGCCAATGAAAATTCGCGTTGCAAAAGTCAAAATCAAGTTGAAATTTGTGGAAAGCGCCAGCGCGCGCCGTTTAAATGAATGCGATTTCAGCTTCGAATCCTCCTAAATCTTGCGGAAAAATGCCTAAAGTTCGGCGAAAACTGGGTAACTGTTATATAATCCAGCTTAAGGGGGCTTGCTTAACACGATGAAATCGATGCGTGGTAACGTTTAGCAACCGAGCCAAACCAAAACATCCCTTCCGGACTAAGCAATGTAAACCAAGGATTTGGACTTAAATTTGGTTTTATAAGACTTAAGATATTACACGCCTTATCGTCGGTCATTGGCTATTAGTGATCGCACAACTTGCCCTGAACTCACAAAATGACAGAAGTTTAGAAATTTTGTTTATAAGTGTTTTCTCTTTTTTCTATATTATCTTACTCATAAAAGGGAGTTTAGCTTCAACGAGACTTTGGATACTTCAGTAACCACCGGCTAGATCCAAGGCAATGGAATTGCCTAAAACAAAAAACAAAAAAACCGTTAGTTAATCTCAGACAAAGTAGAAATATAGGCGTGTTAAATGAAGTTGCCATATAGTTGGAATGTCTCACCCAACAGCGCGTTGTCTCGTGACATCTATCAATACAACTGTTTCCTTCCAAACGACTCTGAGAGGGTAACATTATGTGTTGACGAACGATCGCTAATTCCAATGTCTTCGTTGTCATTATATGACAAATCAATGGTATTAAAAAAAACAGCATGAACTCTCACGTTCTCATTGGTTTAGAGCTAAAACTCGACAAGAGAACTGATCGTGAAAACTAACTTTTACAACATTTTGTAACCTGGAACATTAGAGGCGGTCCAATTTGCAGATTTTGGTAGCTCTTATGGATTTCAAGACAAAATATCAACGCTTTTACTCTTCAAGGTATCTTTTAGGGCTGCACACGAAGAAATAAATGAACGTCGTCAAAATGTGTTTGTAGTGCAGATTGATCTTTCTAGGCTTACTCATGACTCAAAATATTCGATGTCGATGTCTTTATCGTTCTTAAAATTACTATAGCTCTTCTTATCTGTCTGTTTTAGATCCGTATCTTTCAAGGGCCAGAGAGCCAAGCCCAGAAAAGTCTCTTTTAGGGTTAATTTGACTTTTTTGGACGAACATTCCCCCTTTAGCCTTGGAGATTCATGAGGTCAAAGGTTTGCAACTTACGCGTTTTGGTGTACAGTGCAGACGCCTTCTTTTTCTTCACGACAAACCAAACACATAACACGAACAGCACACCGATACTGGCTGATAAAATCACGATCAGCAGGAGCCACTCTCTGCGAATTCCTGTGAAGTAAAAAAGACGCCAAAACACATTTAAGACTCTTTCCTAATGGCGTCAGTAGAATCTAGAGCTAAACAAATGTCTTCACTTTGTCCTGTTGAATATCAAAAAGTACTTCTTCTTTGTAAAAATCTATTACGTTATTGGTGAATCATTTCTCGTTGAGCACAATCGTGCGCAAAAACTTTTCAAGAACCTGAGAAGGATTTTTTTGTTCACCTATATAATTGGGCCTCCTGGTTACTAATTGTACCCTCATTCCATATCAGTGAACAGTACGATGTTCTCTCCGGGCCCGTCAATGTGGTTTTAAAGACTTTTTGTAAGTAGTTATTGCAGAAGTTATTTGGGATGACACAGCGCTTCTAGTCCCTTCCTTGTGCGTAGAAGCATGGCGTAACATAAGTGTCAAGAAAGGACACTGCCAATAATGTGACAGACACACTAGATGGATGACGGAAGCAGTTTTCTGTGAACAAAAGTCTAGCACTGACCTGAAGGCGGAGAAGAAAGCAAAGCATTTTTCGGCGAGGTGGTCGCACTTTCAGTTGTTGCTTGAACTAGAATAGATAACAACTTAATTGAATTTATAAATACTTGTAAAATGTATCCTACCTAACACAAAAAAGGAAAGGTATACGAATTTAAAGCTTTGTTGAGAAGAGATTTTGGGTTGGGTGAAGTGCAGACGTTCTTGACCTGATCATCTCATCCGAAATACTATCACAAAATGAAGAATAAATGACGAAGATAACGTCAGCTGTATACTTTTACTCTTCGTGTCTTCGTAGCCACGATACTTTTAATTAGAGTTGTGAACCCTCGATAAATAAAGACTTTATCTTATGCTGTTACCATCTGTGCACTTGGTAAGATCTATTAGGGTGGTATTTCGGGCATCCTATTTCTGAAAAAGACGGTGCCCATCCATATTTTTTTTTTTTTTCATTTTTTTTTTTTTTTTTCATTTTTTTCATTTTGGACATGAGTTATCCGTAATTTCGCCATGGTTAGCGTTTCAAAAACAAATGAATGTTAGAATATTTCGACGCGAACGTCGTTGATCAGAAACTGCCATGTGGTAAAGATGACTAGCGTTAAACTGAATCCATGCAGGTGAGCAATTGCAAGATAGTAGAACAGTATAGCGATTAAAATATGAATTCCTTTGCGTTTGATCTTTCAAGATTCTTACCTGTCGGCTGGTTATCAAAAACTTTCAAGTCAATGGCAGCTTTTGTGGTGTTTATGAAATCGCAGAGCCAGTGGCAACTGTAGGTTCCTCGGTCATTTTTCGTAACGTTAGAAATAGAGAGGATGAACTCTGTCTTGCATTTGCTTAGTGTTTTCTTCTCGACTATTTTGTACTTTTCACCCCTCTCCAAGGGCGCCTGGTTGTCATTTAAGTACCACTCTCCTGAACATAAGAAAAAACCAGGATCATAGTCAATCCAACATGACAGGTTGACGTTAGAATATTTGGCTGCGAGAACCTCCAGCGAATCAATGGTCGGGCCTTTTGGTAATGGACCTACAATACAAAAAAGAGATAGCTCGTGACGGTTATCCGGCTAAAGGCGGCTTTTCATTTAAAAATCGTCAAGAAAATACTCTACTACTCTACTCTTCTCCACCCAACTCTACTCCTTTCTACTCTACTCCACTCTACTTAATTTTACTTTTTTCTCTCAACTTCAGTCACTTAATAGGCCATGTTCGTATTCTCGGTATCAACCGGAACTAGCTTGCAATGGAGGTTTCTGCGGGAAAATACCATTAAAAGAGGGGGCCAAGGGTAATTTCGTGACGCCGTGATACGGTTTTTTTGTGCTCTGTGAAGCGTGATTTGATAAAAAACTGTTCCGTGAATCGTGATTGAAGTGTATTCCGTGAGGCGTGAAATGTAAAAGTCCTTGGCTGTGAATCGTGAATAGATAAGAAATGAATCGTGAATTTCTAAAGTTGAGTTCGTAGCTGAATTTCACTGCATTGCGATCAGATTTTTTCCGTGACCTTAGTGAATTTAACGCTTGAGTCAAGCCGACTGAGAGTAGCGAGAAACGAAACATGTTCACAGTTTCAAATAAACCCGTTGATTTCCTGATGGATGTGGACTGTATCCTATATCTCACAAAAGGTAAAGTCCTGGAGCAGTTGCAGAAAGTTGGCAGTGTGGTACATCCAGTTGTACCAGACAGATACAAAGTTATCAAAACGAAAAGAAGTGGCTTCTACCCACATCCAATTGCGGTGACTTTGGGGGACCACGGGAAGCGGCTAGTGTTGGACTACAAGCCTATGAACAAGACAACAAGACTTCTGCAAGTGCGACTCCATTCTCCGGCGGAGGTAAAGATAATCGAGGAACTCGGGGATGCGAGAAACATTATGTACCTTAAAAGCAATGCGTACGTTTCGGAGCCAACGGGTATCAATGTCATTTCAATCTGATATCGGGCAATGTAACGCCTCCTATGGACAAACTGAAGAAAGAACATCTTCAGAATGTTCTAGAAGGGTGGCAAGTATCCACAGAAGGTACAGTGCAGCAGTTACGGGACCGAATGAAAGATATCATTAAGAAGCGTACCAGTGAACACCAAAAAGCAAAACACGACACCAAAAAAGTCTTTCTTTCTCAAGATGTGTGCACATCCAATATATGCAGCATGACAGAATCTATCATCGTCAGTGCCAGCGACACCGAGCAACATTTTTACACAATTGAGTAGACGTCTGATGGAGTTGCAATGCATGGACTAGTAAAGGAATTGTGTTCTTACCCAGCTGAATGTCTCCAAGTGCTATCCATGTGTGTGAATAATGGAATTCTGTTTGTGTCATTCAAAGGCAAGAATGAAGCCGAGAAGCAAGGTGAGCTTCTTTCAATCGATCTCACATCAAGACAAAGTTCTTTTATCTTACACAATGACACTGTGTTATGGTCTGATTAATGTAGAGGAGTAGCAAGTTATTTGGACGATGTCTTGTTCTGTGATGCGGGAGCTTTCCAGGTCAAGTATCTTCATCAGGATGGCAGTGTTGATGTAATTGCTGGAAACGGCCAAGAGGGTAACGCAGAGGGAAGAGCAGAAAACTCTTCGTTTGGTCAGCCGATGGGAGTTTGCACTGACAATTGCAATGTCTTGTCACTGACCCTCAGACAGGATGCATCAAAATTCTGACTACAATTACCGGTACAGTCACCTATCTGANTTGTAAGCTAGTTCCAGTTTAATACCGGGGATATGAATGTGGTAGTATTCTGCTCTACCCCGTTTTACTTCATATTACTCATGCTATTGGACGTCGATTGAAATAAGATCGCTTACACTGATATATCATCTGAAGGATTTTAAAGGTTTCACTCTTCCAGCCAGGAATACTGTTTCTTGCACTGCACTTGTAGAATCCTTCCTGCTTCTCGCGTCCCGGCGGAAGATGAAGTGTGCTCCGGAGAGTTTCCACTCCTTTCTTCCATTTCTTGTCTTCTGAGTGATAAATCCTTTCAGTTCCGTTCGTTATTATTTCACCGTTCTTGTACCATTGGACCTCGCGGGGAAGAGGCCATCCCGAGAAAAAGCATTTTAAATCGATTGGTACGCCTTTATCGTAAAACCTTGGTGTACTTGAGGTCCAAGCTTGCAGTTTACCTAGAAGCAAGAATAGTAACAAATCACTGTTTAATAGAATCAAATGATTATGGAAGAAAATGTTTGGTACACTGAATGGTCAGATTCCTCTCATATTTATTCCTTCGTTATCATACACATTTTGTCGCATTATGTCATGCCATGCTTATCGTATCGTGTCAACTTCACATCAAGCGACTCACGTCATGCGATTTCATGCTTGTGTCATGACATATCATGCAGCCGTCACGCTAGCTTCACGTAATACGTCGTGTCATGATAATCAAATGACATGACATGACATGCCATACCATAGGCATGTCATTTCATATTACGTCATGTCCTCATTTCATGTCATTTTAAACTGCCGGATACTTATGACTAACTACGAATGAAATCCTTGCGTCTGTTACTTGGAAAGGCAGAAGATTGAGTCTGATTGATAGCGGCACCATATTTAACCGTAGTTAACCATAGTTAATAGGGGGTAACCAATGATTGTGAAGGAAGAAACAAAGATTCAAGATTTATGTTGAAAGGTCTGCGACCGCGCACGATCATTTGTTTTGCTCCGATACCCTATGCAAGAATTGCGCAACTGAAAAGTTTCAGTTGGTCAGTTGCTTAGACGGAAGTAAACACCTGCCGTGTTTTTTGCTTGGTCAAGGTCAGAAAAGGAAACAAAATCTTCTCATTAAGAGCTTTGTAAGACTCCATAACCATCCCCCTGCATTAACAACGGAAAAAAAAAACGAAGAAAAACTTACGTGTGAAGCTAATGCTGGCACAGTAACATGACACACTGCCGCTGTCCTTTGCGGAATTTGATTGCAGCAACACCAAGTCTGATAAACCAGTACTGTTCTGGACTGCTTGCCTGGCTTGTTTCCAGGTCATTCCCTGTGCCAGCATTCCTGTTCTGATCGAGCATTTGCGAGTGATGTTGGAGTCTGGATCTACTATCATGGGATTTGTGTGCTGACACCCTGACAAGGGGCAGGATGACTTTATTTCACACTTCATGTCAGTCGCAGAAGAGGTATCTGTTGATTAAAATTAACAATACCACAACGTTTTCAGCTTTTCAATTTACCGTAGGTACCTTACAACACATTACCCTCAGAAGTGATTGGCTTAAAGACCTTACAGATGTCGGACCATTTCCTTGAAATGACACTCATAAAATCCCTATATGCCATAGAAAAGCCTGTCTACTGACGATTTACTGCAGTATAACGAGCAAAAGAATCCAAAACCCTGAAATGCAAACTGATAAAACAAAAATAATGTCCATTTATTTTTAAGGAGAGTCCCCCAAAACCATCAATCAATATCCCTCTTACCAGTTGTAAATGGTCTCCTCTACATTTGTCGTTATAGATACTTTTTCCTCAATTCAAGCATCGTTATAGTTTAAGTGGAATTTCCGGAAGTTACTTCAAGAACTGGACATCAAAAACCTTGGGCGCTTTCCAGTAGACCAAAAATTCCAGTGTGAATTTCCGGAAGTTTCCTGGGACAAATGAAACAGAGTTTTCCAGAGTGGAAAACGAGTTGAACAGGTTTGTTCTCTTGGAAGTTTTCAATGACTTCGAGCTAAATCGAGCCTTGTATAGACCACAACAGCAGGGACCTTATACAAACCACAACGACAGCGAAAACGTCGCAAAACAAGGGGCTTAATGAGTGGTATAATGATGATCATAATAATAATAATAATAACAATAATAATAATAATAATAATAATAATTAAATCTATAAAAACAAATCACCTAGTATAAAAATTAAGAAAATGCCAAAAACAGATAAATTTAAATGATGTGTAATTTAAAACTTCAACTTAAAAATTATTGTTTAAAAAGCCACGTTTTCAGTTTACTTTTAAAAATGTTCGTGGAAGACGAGTCTTTGGCACGCGTTATAAATCTTTGGCACGCGTTATAAATCTTTGTAAATTTCTCAGCCAACCTATGCAAAACAAACAAGTACACCACACAGGTATTATTTTTATGAAACGCTTTTTTGACAAATTTAGCTGTAGTTAGTATTTATCAACAGGTAAGTGGAAAGATTATAAATAAAAATATTAATCCATTTTCCGGAATGAGCGTCGTCATCATCCTCGCGTGAGCTGTCCAACTCGCTGTGATCGCGGCCAAAAGAACTAGCGCTGAGTAGAAAATTGCGGATTTGCATAATTTCCGAAAAAGAGGACAGCCTCCTAGAGTATACCCAAATTTTCAAACATTTTTTTTTCTGAAAATTTCCGTTCCATTTGCTTTTCATACATGAATTTTCGGAATTTTCGGAATTTTCGGTTGAATGCTTCGCTTTTCGGAAATTCAACAATTTGCGGATTTTCTAGAACATTTCCCTGGAAATTTGTCCCCGTTTCGAAAATTTCAGAATTTTTGGTCGAATGGAAAGCGCCCCTTAGGTTGAGGCGCAAGTACACTCTCGCCGCTTCACCATCAAGAAAAATAAACATGGCGGACATTTCTTGAATGAAACTTTCATTTACTCGAAAGATATCACTCCACTTTCGGGAAACTGAAAGCATGGGAAATTTTAGAAATGACTCCCATCGACTTTAGACCAAAAATGTTTTCAAGATGTAGTATTCAAGGCATTAAACAATATATAAACGTTGCGGTTTCTTGGGTCACCAGACAAGACAAAATGTTCAGATCAAGTAAGAGCTGTTCAGATTGGAGCTACTCGTCCTGAGGCGATGCGTACAACTGTATATAAATTCAACCACGATGAACAAAGAATTTCTTTTTTGTACGTAGCGTTTCGTTTGTTTATTTTACTGCCTAGATCTTGGGTAAATTGTTTCATAATTAATGTATTATTAAAACTACGGCCACATACATCTATGTGTATGCACAACGAACAATTGCGTCTGTGTTTCCATGCTCCGGTCCGTCATAGTGACGGTGTAGCTCTTGATATTCACCTCTAAAAATTATACTGAAACAATTATTCGCCACTGGCTCAGCGACCATTGGTTATGATCACTGGAGAGTAGTTTCCATATTATCGCCGAAAGTTTTCTGAGGCAATCATTTTTTTTTTTTTTTGAAACGGATTTCGCTATAAAAGTAAACGTTAAAAAGCAACATCGTTCGACCGTCGAACGGTCGAAACGTGCTTTCGGTTTCCCGAACGTTGAACAGTCGAAACGTCGTTGTTTTTTAACGTTAACTTTAATAGTGAAATCATACTGGTCATGTGGAAAAAGTCTTGACGCTTCCCTCGATCTCTCCAAACCTCCCACGTGCATCATAACCCGATGATACATGCTGGGGCATGAATCAATTGTTAATTGCAAAACCAAGTCTTATTATTTGGAGCGCTTTTACTCAATATCATAACTAGGAGCACAGAAAACATTCGCCCCCGTTCGTGTTTTGTTAATTTTTGGATGTGAGTCATTAAGTTTTGGATTTTGGATGTGAGTCATTAATTTTTAAATCATGACAACAGAAACAAGGAAAGTGCGGATATGATCGTAAGTTTGAATAATTAAAAAGTCCGAGTATACGAAAAGTGCGGATAATTGAAAAGTTTGATAATCCAGCTTATGATCACTTTGTTCGTATCCCATTTCTATTGGGTGAAAACGAATAAGTTAAAAAAAAAAATACATGAGAATTCATTGCTTTTTTCGGCGCCAAATGTGTGCGGAAGTCTATAAAACGGAATGAACAGGAAGTCTTTACTCAGGTCCATATGCCTTAACAAGACTACAAGTACTTGATAATCCTGATTTCGCACAGAGCCTACGAATATTCCGATTACTTTTTGTAAGAGTTTATATTGATGGACATCGCGTTATTTTTATACCTCGAACACCCGAGTGATATTTCCCATAACTTATCTATTCAGTATAGTGTTAATTTCAAAAAAACAAAAAAACAAAAACAAAAAACGTTTGTCGCTTTGAAGCAAGGAAGCCTGCATGCAAGATTTTGAACAGCTTGGAAAAAAAAAGTTCCTGATATATGTGATATATATGTTTCATTTAATATTTAAATTAAATATTAACGAATTGTACATCGGCGCAAGAAAATTGCACAACGGCGCACGAAAATTTTAACAGCGTGATTCACTTCATACGTACCTTGAATCATGAAAAACGACAAAGACCAAAACAAGAGGTATTTCAGCAAACGAAGCTGGAAGTTTTTCTCCAGGCGTTGATTCTCCATGGTTCCAATTCCAACCGCGATCTGCCGATACATGGCCATCGTTCAGCTTCCTCGAGATAGGCTACCCACGGTTATCGTTGATCGTTTTCAGAATACGCCTGAAAGCAGCCACGAAAGGAGGCAAAAAGTTTTCATTTATGCAAAACGTCATATCATATTAACTACTAACGCCAAACATCAAGTAAATTAAACACAGAGTTATCTTTCACTATGAAAGGACCGCCCATCTCGTTAACAATGACAGCGACAGCTGTACCATACAGAAGGCGGCTTGAAGCTATGAGAATGTTATTCAGCTGTTGATCACGTGACCTAAACTCAAGTATCAATTTCACTTATCTCACTGACAGTTTCTTAAAAGTGAAGCTGTCAAGTAATGGAAACACTGGTCATTCAAGCTGCAGTTATTTCGTTTTGAAATGCAATGCAAATTGTGATTTCGGTGTAATAAGTTAATTTCAAACGACTCAAATTTCAATTGGTGTTTCGTTATTTCTCGTAAGTCTGACGTACAGCTTTAGCCATGTTATGCTTTTAGTGTTGTAGTATAAAATATTCTAAATTGTAGACAATTTCTTTGTATTTTTGGAAACCACATGGCTTACGGCTGTACCAGAGTTTACCCAAATATGGGAAATAAGTAGGCAAGTGTCACTTATAAATACTCTTGTTCTTGGGCCATTTCAATTTCAGAAGGAGAAGATAACAAACAGCGATTACAAAGAGACAACGCAAGTTAATACCGTTAAGATTTTTAGACCATGCGTTGTCTATTTGTAATGTTTGTAACCGCTGTTTGTTTTTTTTTACCGCTTCTGAAAGTGTCACTTATAAATTTCTCGTCGGAGGAAAGTCGGTTTTTTTCAGCAGATTTGGCAGGCTTGTTTAACCTCTACTCGGGAAATGCAAGAAATAATGGATAAGAGGCCACAAAATGTCACAGCTACCTTAATTACGTAACACAATACCGGTTCAATGCGAAACATTTCAATGAAAACGCTTGTAAATGCACAACAAGAGCGACCGAATGATGTATTTAAGAAATACCCTGGGTGAAACAAAACCAATTCCAAATTGCCAATTCAGTTAAGTCTGTCATTTGGATCTTGTCAGGGGGAGAACGAGGAGCGCAAAGCTCGTCGGAGGGGGAGGGAGGGGAACTCCCGAGAAGGCGTTTTGGTTTTCGCCATTCCACTCCCTAATTAAGAATGCAAAACCCAGAAAGGCGTGAAATATCTTGCTATCAAAACGGTCCTTGCGGGCGTTCCTCTCCTTTCCCCTCCGATCGAGCTTCACGCTTCTCGTTTCCTCCTATCCCACTCCTTTGAACACCTGCTACGCAGACTAAGGCTTCATATCATCATCCAGTCAATTTATGATTTAAGAAGAATTTATGAAATAATTGTTACATTCGCATTTGTTGAATAAGCGATTACTATCGCAAACACGGCGCCACGAACCTCGTTTGTTATTTATCATCTCGTATCAAACGCTGGCCTATGGAACAATTGCCTACTAACCAAAAGAACAATAAAATCATTATTCCATAATTTCGCTCTCAAAAATGACTTTGGCACAAAGCACTGTCTTGTTTCCAATGACTTCATTGGTAATTAGTAGTTATTCCACGAGGTCGCCTTAGAGATAAGATGATAGATAGCCGTGGAGACCCGTATCGCCGAGTTGGCTATAATCATTTCATATCCAGCAAGCGTGACTGGAATAATTTTTTAATTAAAAATATCTCCCCAGAAAAGAAAATTAAAATGAAATAAACATAAAAACGCGCCAAAAAATCACCTGTACGCTTAGCATATTAGTAGAGCATGGTATAATTGCCAAATTACTATGGTCGCTAAACCAATGAAAACTCTTGAATTGCATTATCCAATGATCTAGTTTTCAACAATTGTTTCAAAACTGTTATTTCAGTGGTGTTTGACCAAAAAATATTTTGTTCCATCCTCTACTTTTGTGCTGGATTGCTTACACAATTAACCAATCCTGCTCTTAAATTAGCCTATTCCATTCCACCTCCTCCTGGAACTGGCTGTTGAAATTACTAGTTCATATTATTTCTGCCTGGAAGCTAGCCTGCGAACGCACACGTATTTCCGGCTGTCGCTTCTCTCCGCCGAAAATAACGTCTGCGAACCCGAGCCAGGAAACGATTTCTGTGACGTAGGAATTTTAAGCCAATCACAGTTTAGCTCAAGTAGCCCCAGAANAGGTATGAATATATCATTCGAAGAATTTTACATCTATTGGAATTCCTGAGATCCGACCGCGGTAGATTTGATCATGCACAGCACTTTCTAACAGTGATTTTGCTGTATATAATATTCTGCTCATTCGTCAGTTGTGTTCACCTCGATGAAAAGTGGCAGCTCGTTTTATGAGCTGTCTAAGAGCCATTTGGAATTTTCTACTAGGCAAGAAACAAACTCAGCGACCGGATGATAAAACAGTTATTGAATTCGTTTATCGCAAAACACTAGTTATTTACTACTTTTCAACCAGGCAAAGTTTTCATATTCCTAACGTTTTAAAACCATTAGGACGGAAATAACAGGGCAATTATTGAACAGTTAACATAAGAAAAGAATGACAAAAACTGGTGAGGAAAGCGTTCAAATCTACATTTGGTTTTGTCTGCCATTTTTATCCGTGAGAGACAACAACCAAGTTATTTTTATCCTTGGGAAATGTATTCCTGAAGGGGCTGACAGCCATACTGTCGCTGAAGGAGGTCTTTTAGTCAACTTCAGTCCACAGTGGGTGTTGTTTTGTTAGTTTAAGATACCTGGCGGTTTTCGGATACTTTAAGCTCTAGCTTTGTGGTTTGTGAGATAACATTTTCTTCAAAAAATTGTCCTTGTTATCAATTGATTGGTCTCGGTTTATTTTCTGCAATCCGCAAGGGATGTTTTTGGTTCAGCCCGGGAGCCAGGGTTTCCAGTGCACCTATCAGCACAACTGAAGTGGAATACCCTCTTCCCGTTTTGAATAATTTTAGGCTCAACACTTTTCAGCCTCTCCTCGCGTTACGCCCAAAAAGCGACAGACTTGTCGTTACTCAAGTGTAACTATGTTAAGTGGAAACACTATTCTTGTGAAATAATTCAGGACGGGACATCGGTCTTTTAATTGGTTTATAACTCGATGGCGAGCCAAAAATATTCCTCTGTTGTTTAGGAAAACAGTTAGTTTTATGTGCGTGACTTTATCCATTAGTCCCTTCAAAAGTTGGTACCAGGAGTGAGGGCAGTCTTGTGTGTGAGCAGTCTCGAATTTTTTCTCCGATTACCGGTAACCCGAAATCTTGTCGGTAAGCTATGGGTGAGAGTAGAAAAAGGGGAAACACAACACAATATCAGAATAACGACAAACCGGACTTCTTGTTAGCCTAAATTTATTTTGATATATGAGCCCACATATGCCGAAAATGCAATGTGAGTTTTGGAAATGCCTGAATCCTTGAAAGATATCTGTGTCATGCTAAGGTTTTTGGGCCCACAGTTAAGAGGTTTAGATTGTTTATCGAGGGTAATCTAGGAATTTTCAGGAAATAAAGGGGCCTTTGCATGGGTCGACAAAGCAGAAAATTTATTTTGACACATGAGCCGACATATGCGGAAAATGCAATGTGAGTTTTGGAAATGCCTGAATCCTCCAAAGATATCTGTGATAGGTTCCATTGGGGATTGTGCTTTCCATGTGTCCGGTTTACAAGTAGGGAGAGCGGACAATTTGTAATGTGGACTAATGTTACATTATAATAACACTGAGCTCCTTCGAAGCTTTTGGTCTACAGTCCACGAAATTCTGGCTTCATGTTAAGTTTTTTGTGGCCACAGGTAAGAGGTTTAGATTGTTTATTGAGGGTAACCTAGAAATTTTCAGGATCTAAAAGAGCCTTTGCGTAGATCTACAAAAGCGGAAGTACTAAGGGGCGGTTGAGAGGCATATCCGACCCGGAATTACTTCAATTTCATATCCTCGATAAAGACATGTCGGAATGCACTGTTCATGCACAGGGGACCCGAACACTATATCAGCAGTGAAAATAACTATGCTGTCATTCACCTGTGTTCCTGTGTCTTTTTGAGTCGTTTAGAAGGGATTTAAATGAAGTGAAGGCGGTTTATATCTCCGAATATTATGTCGTCTGCCGCTTTGTAATTATGGCGCTCCGATTACGTCTCAAGTTTCTATTATTGTCATTAACTATCAGCAGTAAAAATAAATGTGCTGTTATTTACCTGTGTTCCTGCGTCTTTTTGAGCCGTTTAGAACAGATTTGAATGAATCGAAGGCTGTTTATATCTCCGAATATTTTCTCGTCTGCCGCTTTGTAATTATGACGCTCCGATTACGTCTCAAGCTTCTATTATCGTCGTTAACTATTACCTCTCGTCGAGGGGAGAGATTCTCGGGTTGCATAACGGCCGCAAAAAAGACCCTTTTCTCCTTCTCTCCCCCGATGGGAGTTTTACACGTTAATCGAAACTTGAGACGTAATCAGAGCGTCATAATTACAATAATATTAGGAAATGTAAACCGCCTCCGTTTCATTCAAATCCCTTCAAAACGACTAGAAAAGACACAGGAACACAGGTATATAACAGCACATTTATTTTTACTGCTGGGTCCCCTGAAGTTCTTACTAGGTTTAGACCCCTGTCTTCTGTACTAAATGAATTGTAAGTTAGCTATGCAGTCAAACCTCTTAAAAAACATAAAGCAATGACAAGCACCATGAAAATTGACGAGTGCTCTTCAGTTTTCCAAAAGCCAATCATCTTCCTTCCACTCAAACTAAACCATGAACAAACTGGTAACAATTTCAGTTAGACCAGGTAAAAAATCAGAGTTTACGATTCCTCTTGATGACCACGCTGAAATGAAATTGTTTAAAGTCAACATAATCGTTGTCTTAAAGACACAACACTCAACTCCATTTGAGAAACAATGCCTTTTTCGTGTTTTTATTCAGTTATCAAAACACGACAGAAGGTGGGATTAACGAGAAATGGGTGATGTAGCAGCTCTCGTAAGGTCTCACATGAATGGCTTGAAACCCATTGAGAGGACAATAGAACGAACAACAGAAACAATGCGCCCTAGCCCCAAAACAATAACAGCTGCTGCAATGACGACACTGCTACACTACTGAGAAGCTGCTACACTACTGAGAAATGCTCATTGTAAGAGCACAAGCCGCGCGCAGGCAGAAGTTTCCACAGCTTTTCTGTGACTCGATAGAAACACGAAGAAAATGTTTTTTATCATTATTATTATTATCATTGTTATCATTTCTTTAAAAACCACTTCGAGAAAAGGAAAGAGAAACACTCGTTTAATTTGGTTTGCAAAATGTAAATTCTCTGCTCTACTCATTACGTATGTGGGCGTTAAGGAATTCAATTACTCTTATTTCTTGTCTGGATAGCGTTCCGGTAAAATTTATTTGTTGTTGCAGCGTGCTCTGTGTTCCCACACATTTCAAGAGAAACCAAATATTTGTGTTCCTTTTTGCGTGGACAATTAACGTACAAAACAAAAATGGGAAGAATCTCTTTTATTTGTGTAGCTAAAGCTATTACGAACATCTAATTCCAATTACTATTCACGACGTACTGAGTTTAACTTCTGACACTAAAACTGAGATCCCGGAAAAGCCCAAAACTCGCCAGCTTTCAAAATTAAGCCCCGCCAAATGTGAACAAAGACAATTCATAACATTATGCTCAACCATTAAACCACCACAAGCCGGCAAAGGATCCCCCTAACTACCACAGTAATACACAGTTCTACCTCAAACAACAAAGTGTCATCAAAATTACCACGTCGCTAACAAGTACATATAAGGTCAACAAAATTCAGACCATAATCATAAGCTAATTTAATTAAGACCAGGATTGGCTAAGTATGTAAGCAACCGATAATGCGAAAGAGCACATTCTGGAAAGAGCGTGGGTGAAAAAATGCTATAAGAGCGAGACCGATAAAGCAAAGCGATAACTAGCAAGATGCAGTTCGCAGCTGGGATGGACAGGTTGAAGAACACCCACGAGCTTGGTTTGATGGCATATGTTATGCTTTGTTCTTTTTCACTTCTCGTGGTCCAAGGTATGTACATGAGGTTACTTGGTTACCGTACATGTAATTTAGACTGTTTTATTACCCTTTTCCAGCTCAAGAACGCGTCCGTTACATGCGCTCGGCTCTTGCTCAATTTAGACCAAAAAGTAAGACAAAATAATTGAGATACAAGCATTTTTTGTCGCTTGAACTACTGAAACTATGTTTGCAGATTGAGTTTAAAAAAATTACCAAGCTCGCCTTCCCGGTGTCGGTTGGAGTCTCTTTTAATATTTAGTAAGAGTAAGAGATAGATATTTAACATTACAACCAGTACTGCATCATAAAATGTTACATTCAAAGTATTTAAGGTGGTATCCTTGGTATTTCGGTGATTAATTTGGCAAATATACCATGCACCTGAGTAAACTCGTTAAAGACGATGGAATATTCATTCAATCCTCGTCCCAGAAGTAATGAACACTATCTTGCATGAGAGTAAAAACGGAAAACGAATCGACCGTAAAAATGGACATTGCATATTTTTAAAACCCTCTCGGGATAAAGAAAAGTCTTGGAATAACAAAATGTTCCTCCTTTTACTAATAGAGTTGTCATCACTTGAACATCTGATATGTTTTGTTTCAACCTGATTGCGACATATCCCTAGATTAATTTGTGCAAGGGGACTCAATAAGATGTTAAGCTGATCATGTCTCTTTTATAGTAGCTTAGCTTTGACATGAATCATTTCTTACACAACAGAGAGCAATAACATGAATCGTTTAAACACCGTGACATTTGGATTGTGCGGTAGCCCGATTTAGAGAGCTTAGTTAAAGCAACTGACTTCTCATATCTCTCTTAGAGAAAAAAATAATAGCTCGTGACAGAAGATTTCTTTAAGTAAAAATTGCAATATTCCACTTCAGTAAACAAAATTCCGACGAAGGAAAAACTCAGAAATATGAACAAAGTGTCGCTTGAAATTCGATCAGCTAAAGATCTTCCAATAATCTATTTAAGGGCATGACCATTAACTATGATTTCAAATTGGGTGACCTTGAATTCCTGTTTAACTCGCAATGTTTGTTTAGACACTGTTCTGCTAATTTATACAACTTCTGTGTCAAATGCTAACAGGAAGTTCATCAAATTTGATTTTGTGAAGGATGTCAAAAAGTAAAATTGAGATTGTGAGGGAATTGCGATTTTTGTAGACCTCCAATCCTACTCTTTGAAACACGATATATCAGCCGGCAGTGTCCCTTCAATTGTTAGGCTTCGGTTTAGCTGCCGTGAAAGACGAAGCTTATTAAATCACAAATTTTCCTCTAAACAGGTGCCCCGACTGCCAAGGACCGTAATGAACCGCAAAACGGTAAGAGTCTCTTTACAAGTGCAATATTATCATGATAGTAACAGTATCATGCTCAACCCATGATCGCAAGACCGGGTGTAAGAGAACTCCGAACGTATCCTATGCGATCAGAGCACCCGAAGATTTCGCAAACACCAAGAAGCTCTTTTTACTCTGAGCATCACTGCCTCATGAACTTCAAATTACGTGCATGCCGACTCAAAAACCAAATGCAGAAACAATGTAATTTTTGTAACCTGGATTCTTGGAAACCTGCTGAATTTTTTACGAGTTCAGTTCATAAGCCTCATGAACTTCAAATTACGTGCAATAACTCAAAAATTAAATGGAGAAACATGATTTTTATAGCTAACCTAGATTCTTGAAAAGCTCACTAGTACGGCAAAATAAAGGAGAATCAAGTTTTCGAGTTCAGTTGCATTCATTTCATGGCTGGAGTCCGTTTAAATGCAATTTTGTGCCGATTTTGCCAACAAACTGCCTTGGTCTGGGCACGGTCTGGCGAATTTTTAAGATAGGCGGCCATGCGTCATATGTATGTCCTTGCTCTTTTTGACGGTTCAAATTGGCCAATGAGCACACGAAATACGTTTCTTTTGTGTTTATTTATATTCCATTCCCTAGGTACATTGCAAGTAGTTTGGTTCTCAAGCACACCAAGTTTTATCACTGTGGGCCAACGAAAAGACTTGGAATGCTATTTCTCCGGATGGCCTTTCCCTTCCGAGGTCCATTGGTTCAAGGATGACCAAATAATCACGAACGGAACTGAAGGCATTTATCATTCAGAGGTCAAGAGAGGGAAAAATGGAGAGGGAACTCTTTGTAGCAGACTTATTCTTCCTCCAGGACGTGAAGAGCTTGAAGGTTTCTATAAGTGCAGAGCGAAAAACAGTTTTTCGGAAGTCTCTGTATCCTTGCAGTTGATATATGTGTGTAAGTAATGCTATACACCGTTGCGTGATCAGCAGCAAAGTTGGCTATCCATAAGATTGTATTTGAAATGCATCGTACCGAACTTAAAATCAAGTTCTACATACAAGCTGATGCAAACCCTATTTAGGGTGTCATTGACATGTTTAATAATCACTGACCATGCTTTTAACACAGGTCCCCGTCCAGGAAGCCCTACTGTCGTTTCTGGGAAGGAATCTGAGAGCAAATCGTCTAACGTGAGCCTGGCATGTCTGATTGATTATGGCTGGGCCTGCCCACAACGTTTGTTTTGGACTCTAAACAATACAGCGCATTTGTCGGAAAGAGCTGAAAAGTATGAAATACAAGTAAAGGATACTCAAAGCAAATGCAAGAAAGAATTCATCCTCTCCATTTTTAACGTGACGGAACATGACGAGGGAACATACAGCTGCCATTGGCAATGCAAGTACAGTGGATCTATGGAAGCTGCCATTGACTTGAAGATAACAGATGAACCACAGATAGGTAAGAGTTTTAAAATAAATAACCAATGCAAATGAGTCTTCTTAATTCTGTTTGATCACTAAAATGATAGCCACATATTTTAGACTTTCCCAACATAAGAATCTAACATTTAGGTAATCTGTTTTAGTTTATTTTTTTTTTTTTTCATTTGAACACTGAGACATTTGTAAACGCAGTCTCAAGGAAGTATACATGTAGGAACGCGCAAATACCCATGCTGTGTATCATCCCTGATCATCAGAGCAGGGACCCCGATCTTTCTGTTCATCACTAAGAAGCTCGCATACCGTAAAATTACGGTGATAAGCACCCCTCCTGCTCAAGGCTCATCTAAATGTAAGCAAAGAAACTATTCCGGTTATAAGTCGCTCTGACATCTGCAACAGATGTAGCTTTGGAGGACTATCTGTGCTTCACGCATTTTTGCCCATTCTTATGCCTTTAAGAGCGTAAACCATTTCATGGAAAACATCTTTAGATACCGCTGGATGTTAGTCTCAAGTTAAGTTTTATCAGCTCATTTTGAAGCGATTTGTTCTGGGGAAAAGGGAAGTAGATTCGGGACTGATATTATCAACTGGACACGGGATTAAGAAATTGTACGAAGCGGAAGTCGACATTTAAAGAAGCGTCTCTGGAAGTCCGGAGACGAGGAGCGAAAACTAACTAAAACTGTCATCTCAGCGAATGTCCCAAATAGCCGAACAATGACGTGGTCGACTTACACAGAAGAGACAAAACAGTTTTAAAAAATAAGAAAGCGAGAAGGAACAAACCATAAAAACTGAGAAATGACAGCCTGACCAACGCGACTCATTTGAAACTGATCTTGAAAGCAAATGAACAAATGAGATCAGTTTGCTAGAGAGAAACACTGACAAGTAACTGGACCTTGAGAGAAAAGTGATATTGGATCTTCTTCTTAAGAAAATATGATCGAGATCTTGGCTTCAAAAACATAATAGCCTCTATACGGAAATCCCCCACGAGAACTGAAATGTAAAACTTTCAAGATCCTATGATTTGCCCGTCACTGTTTTGGCCTCAAAGATCTTTGAAATCGTTTTCCCAATGCAAGAAATGGGACCTAAATAAGAGTAGATGGTTTTTGAAACATCAGTTGCACGTTGGCAAAGTTTAGTTTATCATTAAGCTCTCTTGTGCCCTGTTGCATAAGCGATAACAAAGGACGACCAATTGTAAGTAACAACTTTAATTAAGTGAACGAAAAGATGAGATTAAGGTTGACCTCTTGTGGGTCTTGCTTCTTTGATTACAGTCCAGTAATTCTTTTCATTCCCTTGTGTCTTAAGCAGAGTAAAGGAAGCTCGTGTTTGCACAGCTATTTGGGTTGACAAACCTTATTAATGTTTGGTTTTTATTTTGTTGGCAGGAGCTTGAGGCACTGGGTAGACAACTTGGATTGCACAGGACAGATCGGATTTCAACGCAGCCCTAGATCAGAATAATTGAAACTTCAAATTAAATTCATTTAAAAATTACCGATGATTCAGTTTTATCCGCATAGCAGTTTTGAAATAGCTTTTGAAAACGTCAATCTGTGTCTAGAATGCTTTAAATAGGCAGAAATAAATAAAATCCTTGATTAACTTTCAAAGCCGGATTTGTGTTGATTATAAAAAAGTGTAAAAACAAAAGGACCCACCCACTGTAGACTATAAGCACGTATGAGGGTCTATTAGTTGCAAAAAGCTTAAACAAACATAGGTAAAATTAATTTGCACAACAGGAGTGCTTGCTCATCGGCGCCCATTTTAATTAATTTTAACTGTGGCAGGCTTGGAGGTCATGTATGAGCTACCTTGCATAGTTCTGGTCAGACGCTAAGAGAACGAGTTATAGTCTGAAGTTCATTTGATTGAGTGTAAAGCATTTCGTCTAAAAGCGTAGATTTTCTGTTCAGACTAAAGAACAAAGGAAACATGGTCATACCTGTATATTATTACATTAGCATACGTCAAAGGGTAATTTCATTATTGCCTCACGGGACTTCACCTTGAGTGTTTTAGCTCCTAGTGAAACGCCGACGAACCGGAAATTCGGGGAAGCCCCAAACAGGAGAGTCTGCTCGTTGCCTAAGTACAACACAATCCACTTCCGATGAGTCGATTCGTCAACTCTTTTGTTGCCGACGAATTGACTCAATGTGGGTGTAAAGGACATGGCTGGATTATAGGAAAATAAATACTTACCTTACCCTACCTTACCTTACCTTCCCTTCCCTTCCCTTCCCTTCCCTTCCCTTACCTTCCCTTACCTTACCTTACCTTACCTTACCTTACCCTACCCTACCCTACACTACCTTACCTTACCTTATCTTACCTTACCTTACCTTACCTTACCTTACCCTACCCTACACTACCTTACCTTACCTTACCCTACCTTACCTTACCTTACCTTACCTTACCCTACCCTATCTTACCTTGCCTTACCTTACCCTACCCTACCCTACTCTATCCTACCCTACCCTACCCTACCCTACCCTACCCTACCTTACCTTACCTTACCTTACCTCACCTTACCTTACCTTACCTTACCATCCCTTCCCTTCCCTTCCCTTCCCTTCCCTTACCTTACCTTACCCTACCCTACCTTAACTTATCTTACCTTACCCTACCCTCCCTTACCCTACCCTACCTTACCTTACCTTACCTTGCCTTACCTTACCTTACCTTACCTTTCCCTTACCTTCCCTTACCTTCCCTTCCCCTCCCTTCCCTTCCCTTCCCTTACCTTACCTTACCATACCCTACCTTACCTTACCTTATCTTCCCTTACCTTACCTTACCTTCCCTTACCTTACCTTACCCTACCCTACCTTCCCTTACCTTACCTTCCCTTGCCTTCCCTTACTTTCCCTTACCTTCCCTTACCTTCCCTTACCTTCCCTTACCTTCCCTTACCTTCCCTTGCCTTCCCTTGCCTTGCCTTGCCTTCCCTTGCCTTGCCTTGCCTTCCCTTGCCCTCCCTTGCCTTCCCTTGCCCTCCCTTGCCTTCCCTTGCCTTGCCTTGCCTTGCCTTGCCTGGCCTTGCCTGGCCTTGCCTGGCCTTGCCTGGCCTTGCCTGGCCTTGCCTGGCCTTGCCTGGCCTT